GTGTATATATAGCAGGAGGTGCGTACTGGCAGGAGGACTTGCCCTGGATACATTCGTAGAGTGTGAATGTGTATATACGCATTTATATAGACACGGACATGATATATGTAGGTACAGTCCAGAGGACACTACTTCTGAGCGAGAAGGGTCTAGGGAATCCCGACATGAGCTACTGGGACGGATACAGGTCAATAATAGCAATCGCACTAAATGACGCATTCCGTGTGTTCGGCCTCCTTCGGGCGTAGATGCATGGCTGTAGCATCCAAGATCTTTACGAGGCTTGGTATGCAGGCTATCGATATATATCTGGCAATCATGTGTGATGCAGCCAGCCAGCCAGCCCTATCCCTCTCTTTCCCTCTCCCTCTATAGTCTAGCTACAGATAGGGGTCTCTCTTGAGCTAGCACTCTCCAGCCCTCTCTATTGTTCTCTCTTAGTTTTTCCCTGTTTGAATACATAAATGACACACACATAACTACACGAACACACACAGTAGAGAGCAGATGCCCCCTGACAGTCCCCAGACGTTGAGTTAAGACGCCACCACAGCCGTGACACTCCCGTCCGCTGCACTGTAACAAAACTTGACATTCTTGGTAGCTCGCACAGCAGAGTGCGTAGAAAGTAAAAAAGAAAATAAAGGACGAGAACCGTGTTTAGTGATCACACTCCACCGTTGAAAGCCACTGAGTATATTGATCATCTTCAACATCTGCCTGTAAGCTGCTACTCCTGGAAGAGAGCCGGTCGGCAGTTACGGCGCCGACCACAGACCCTGACCCTGACCATGTATCACCCCACCCACCCCAGACAGTCCCTCCGCAAGAATATTCAGGCGAGAGAAAGAACGTTCCAGTTGGCCTCGTTATCTTATCGTCACGGATGTGATCCGAAAACACATCTCTCCCCAATCGCCGTTAATATAATTATATAATATTATCCGCCCCCTGACAATAGTAGCTAGCTAGTCCTCACCCACCCAGCTTAGCCAAACCTGATTCTAGATACCTTCGTCCCCTTCGCTTTTCTACGTGACTCACTCGTCTTGCGTGGTTGGCTGGCTGCTTCGCAAGGCGTTTGATGGGCCGGATGCATATATATATATCGGGGGGAAGGCGGTTAACTTGCTCGAGATTAGATAATCTATCACAATTGTTAGGTGATCAAGTTTTGTTCCAAGCTTTCCTCTACTTACGTAACCGGTCGAATCCGCGGCCCCAGCTCGGGCCATAATCAATGGGAGAGATCGAGGACAGCATTTGAAGTAATGTCCTACAACTAACTCCCCTTTGATCCCTCTTTGCTCATCAATTCATCCGGATAAGCGGCTGTCTGCCAATCCTTTAGACTGGTTCGGGGTACAATATGTCTCTCTGTTATATGTGCAGAATCTACGGCCATCTCGCTCGCTAGGGAGGGTGGAGGTGGGCCAATGATAAGCAGCGTAGTTGATTATCACAAGCTCGGAGTTTGACAATACGAAGCCTAAGTGTCTCAATCTATCTTTCTGTGGTACCGTGGGGTTATACATGATAATATGATACAGCCCTGATTGAATATATGTATACGCTGTTTAGTCAAATCATGGCATATCACTCGCTAACCTGCTCGGGAATGGAAGGACTTAACGCTGTTTTCTGAGTCATGCCCAGCACTGCAATAATGGCCACGAATAGGCGGACAGTTTATGTCTCCGTACGTACACACACATGTTCTGTGCACGCCCCGACATGCGGTGTTTTCCCTTCATGGCGTAAATATCCTTACCGCGCGCGCACAAGCCTAAAAATTTCTTCCAGCAGTCACTCGCCCCAAGAGCTTATATGTCTCGTGTTCCCCGTTGAGCGCCCACGGCCGGGCTGTTTGTGACTCATGGTGCAACCTTGGCGGGAAAGAACGTCCATCGGGGAGATGTTTCTTCATGAGCTTGGGGAACAAGTACTGTACTAGGTACCTTTAATTTGGTTCCGATATTCCGTTGCGCTGACGCGGAGGAAACACAGACCAAGACAGGCGAGACGGCGAACCTAGCTAAACGGGCAATCAAATCTAAAGAAGCCAAGTTACGGGATCCGGAAACCTCTCTGAGTGATCATGAAGATCTTACTTGCAGCTGAGTCGGCCTCATGACAAATACTCGAGCAGTCCCGGAGTTGTGGGCGACACACCCGTACCCGCATATACGCAGCAGCAAGCCAGCTAAACGTTCTCCTTCAGAAAATAAGAAAAGACTCTACTTGTAGCGAGACATTGTACATAAGTATAGTCCTGAGATCTTTCCTGTCCCTGGCAAGTTAACAACGAATGGGAGTGCGCCAGAAACATGACAGTATCCACAGAGACAATGTTTGAAGGCCAAACCTTCAGCCTGCTGAATCTTTCTCCTTTCTCGTAGTTCACCGCGACAATAGTTAAAAGACCGAAAGACAGTACGTGAGACCCTGTTACTAAACACTCAACCAATTAGATCTGGCAGTAGTCCTTAATTCCACCATCCGGTCGCTCCTCCTGCTGAACTGTTTCAACAGGCAGTACTACTTACAATATATGGCACGTGGCACGGGAAACACCCAGCCGGAACAACGCCCGAAAACCGTTTTAATTTGCACGAGGACTCAATTCCCAATTCCAGACATAGGCCGCGGCGATTCAAAAAAATGACGTCGGTAAAGATGGCGCTCCTAGCTAAGTATGTACTTGGTACCGGTACTTCACCAGCTGTCACCCGGTTATAACTAGTAGATCCTCTTATCTCTCTTATCAAATAATAGATCTTCCACACAGATTTAGTTCCTCTATTATACGGTGGTCAGCTCGCCAGACGAAGGGATACGCCGCACACCCGTTCCTTGAAAGTAGAGTAGTAACAAAAGTTTGCTTTTTGGGGGTGGTCAGCATTTGTTGCCAGACAAAGGGATACGCGCATGACCGCTGCTGTATATACTTGACACCGTCAATATGCGCAAATAGAGAGTTTGCGCTGCAGACCCAGGTGGGTGCCAAGTGCCGAATTTGTCGAGTCCGACCCAGTTGCTGTCCAGAGTTTGCGGGCGTTGTTGAACAGAATGGGTGTCTCGGCGCCTCGGCGTGGGGATATGGTGTTCTGGGAGCGAATCCTCAGCCCGTAGTAGCCCAGCAAACCCTCAGCCCGTAGTAATCCAGCGAACCCTCAGTCCGTAGTACAGTGAATTCCACAATCGTTCTTCAGTTACCGGCGATGCTCACAGCCAAATATATTATTATCCGTCGCATGAGTAGGGTGGAGAGACTGCAAAGGCTGCGGTTAGCGGTGTACAGCCGCATTTGAAAAGACTTGGCACCCTCCCTTATTGCGCCCGCGCGACCCCGTTAGCTTGTGAAAAACTATGGCGCCCCCGCACACCCAGGTCAATGATAGAAGCAACCGCAATAGAGATATAGCAGCTCTCACTGACTATGGCCTCGGATACAAGAGGATTGCAAAGCAGATAGGCATAAATCCTTCCACAGTTAGAAATGTTGTTAAGAGATACAAAAAGCGGGATCATGTTCTTGATGCGCCCAGAATCGGTAGACCTTCAAAAATTACAAAAGAAGTTCGGAGCCTAGTCAATTCAGTTACCCTTGATAATCCTCGAGCATCTCTCAACCAATTGACTAAATTGGTCCGACCTGATCTGGACATTGGCCGCTCAACAGTTGATAAAGTTATAAAAGAGCTGGGTTTTAAGTTAATTGTTCCAAGAAAGAAACCCTGGTTCCGCAAAGACTAACAGAGAAAGAGATTAGAGTGGTGTAAGCTACGGAAAGCTTGAGGGAAAGCAAAATGGAGAAAGGTCGTTTGGTTGGATGAAGCAATATTTGACTACGTTGCATATCAGCCAGGTCGGAAAGTCAGAGTTAAGCCTGGCGAAGAGTTATTGGACCAGAATTTAGCTGCCAGCTTTAAATCAGGACGGATTTCGGTCGGCTGTTGGGCAGCATATACTCATGGGAAACGGTCCCCACTTGTTCGAATTCGACGATGTGGTCCAGATGAAAGAGTCACAAAAAAGGATAGACTAGGCTTGAATGGGAGTCAATATGCCAAAGAAATATGCGAGCCATACCTGTTACCATTTCTACAATCACTAGATCAACCTGTAACGGGGGTCCTTTCTAAGAGAAATAGATTTGTATAGAATAGAGACGGCCGTGCAAGATAGACAATCAGGTTGCAGATTATTCAAAGATTCTATCGCTAGAACTCAATAATCTTTAAGGGCTCTGCTACCGATAAAAACTTGGTTTTCTTTCTGATGAAGACTGGGGAGAACAGGACTGAAGGGCGAGAATGAACCTGAGTACTTATACTCCGAAGGCCTCTGTTCTCTGCTCCTAACTCCTTTACTAAGTTCCGGTGGGCCTTCCCTCAGTACCGGAAACAATACCTCCGCTACCCCGCTTTTCTCTAAGCGTCAGCAGGTGTTTCCGATACCCAAGGCAACCGCCCTTAGTCAAAGCCTTTGTAACACCTGCAGCCTTGGTTGCCACACAACCAAGGACCTGCATGAATGAGCTGCCGCTCAGGTGTAAGCTTAATCATTGCTGTAGAGCTTTCGCTTATTGTAGACTTCCCTAGCATAGTCCCTGCTCTTCGGCGGACCTACAATGCTCAGAGGATATAGAGGATCACCGGGCAATCAGAGCTTCACTCTGGCCGGTCTTCTAGTCACTGGCGAGGCATAGACTCGTCAGTCATTGCTCCCATGAATAGATCCCCTTCCTAGCGCCCGGAATGTAGTTACTCTAACAGCTGGTAGCTAACCACACTGCCGGTACTTGCATATCACCGTGCAACTGGCTTCTAACAATAACTCTCAACATGTAACCGGGCCCTGTGTGTACTCATACACCAGACAGTTGAAATGGCTCCGTTACACAACCTATCGAAGAGATCAAAGTGGTAGAAGACAAAGGACCATATCATTTCGGGCCATTAAATATTACTCTCAACTATACCTACGGTATCAACAAAATGCATACCCCAGCAAACTCTCCGGACCTAAATCCTATTGAGAATGTCTGGCATATTTTCAAAGCTAAACTCCGGAAAAGATTTACAAACAAAGAGAGAAAACCTCATAGTGCAGACCAGCTATGGGGGGCGATGCAGGAGGAATGGGGAACAATGGATCAAGAGGCTATGGATAGATTGATAGATACTATGCCTGAACGCATTGCAACTATAATTTCTGTACAAGGCGGTCACTCAAAGTGGTAAAACCCTCTTATTCAACCTGTATCGACATGTATCATTCCCTTTTTCTCTATATATCTATTTCATTATATTACGGCCTCGAGACCCATATGCGAAAGGGTGCCAAGACTTTTCAAACGCGGCTGTACAGAACAAATACTGTGAAGAGAGGGGTGGGGAGGATAGAAGGTCGGATTGACCTAGATACAATTCCAGAAGACGGCTGAAGGCCTCAGTTCCGGTAGGAACCCGCTGATGTACCAGTATCAATATCAGTAACAGAGCGTCACGCTGACTGGTATAGGTTTACCCGCGCCGATATTGACCAACTTGTGTTGGCGTTAAGGCTTCCAGGCATTATAAGAGCGGACAATGGGATAGTTGAAGATTCTCGTACAGCTATCTGTATGCTGTTAGCATGGCTTGCATATCCAAATCGCTTGTCCGACCTATGGCTCAAATATGGTTGGAGTCCTGAAAGAGTTTCCTGTATATCCTCAACTGTTCAACTGTTCATACATGATCGATGGTATCACCTACTCGAATTTGATCATGTCCGCCTGACACCATTGAAGTTGGAGGAGTATGCAAGAGCAATACACTCAAAAGGGGCCCCTCTGAGAACTATTTAGGGATGTATAAATGGTACTGTACGTGGACTAGCAAGACCGATAATACATCAGAGGATGTGCTATAATGGTTGGGAATGGAAACACTGTCTCAAATATCATGCTGTCGTAACACCTGATGGCTTAACTAGCAATCTTTTTGGTACAGTCGATGGCCGGCAGAACGATTCTTTCCTCTTGGACGACTCAAGATTGCTTCAAAATCTTGAAAGTCATGCAAATACTATCAACGGTACACAACTGCAACTCTACGGAGACTCTACCTACAGTATCAACAGGTATCTGTTATCACCGTATCAAGGAGCATATATAAATGCAGATCAGAGAGCATGGAATAAGTCAATATCGAAAGTCAGAATTGTTGTTGAATGGGTGTTGAAAGAGGTGGTTACTCTTTTTGCATTTCTGGATTACAATTAAAATCAAAAGCATTTGTTACAACCAGTGGGGATATAATTTAGAGTAGCTGCACTCTTACACAACGCACATGTTATCCTTCATTGTCTACAGATTGAATAATATTTTGATGTAAATAGATATGGTGTTGAGGAAGAGTGCATGGAGGAGCATTTAGTTGAGCCAGCAACGTTAGATAGCTATTTTCATGATTGACTATTACTACCGCCACCTAAACTATGGGAAAGAACTCTCATCATATCCAAGTATTCTTCTCTCCTAGCTAACCGGTACTCTTTCAACTCATCTGCAAGTGACTTCAGCCCCGAAACAAGCTCTGAGTGATGTCTATCTTCAACCTCTTGCAAATGTTGCAAAACAGTAGAATCATCGTCCCTATTGAACTGGTCTAACACCTCATCGATCTTAATTGCTGCTTTATTCTTCCTTTTTTTTTTTTAGACAATCACTTTCCATCTCACTACCTGAGTCCCCCCCTACCCAGATCTCATCCCTTTTCCTAAGCAAACCACGAAGAGAAGCATCTTTCACTACCTGGCCATCCTCCTCTAAAGCTCTTGCTTCGGTTACTGCCTCTTGGCGAACAGAGAGATCAGTACTACCTTGATCCAACCTAATTACCAATTCATCCATATACTGGATAAACCGGTCCACTTCTTCATTTACCCCAATCTTCTGCAGCAACCTGGACTGCTCAGTCTTGTACAGCATGACAAGCTTCTTCATGCGAGCCCTGCAGGTGTCTGCAGTTCTTCTAATCAGGGTGTTGAGTTCTAACAGGTGAAGGGATACCTCCAACCATTTCTCTAGTATACAGCCTCGAATACAATTGATCGGGTCATCTGCTAAGACATGCCGAGCCAATGCACGATCCCTTCAAGGTTCCCAATTCGCTGCTTTGCCTCCAGCCCTTCCTGCCTCGGGCGAAATCAATTTTTGAACCAGTTGAACGGCAGCGGCCTCAACAGGTGCGGATTGAACAGGCGTGGCTGCTGGAGGCGCGGCTTGCAGAGGTGCGGCTTGGAAAACACTCGGTGGTGTACTGAAGCAGTCATCAAGTTGGAACTGGTACAGACCCGGAATTTGACTATCACAGGCATTAGAGTTCTGGAAATCTGACATTCAGTAAGTGCGGGTTCATGATAGAGTATCTGGATACATGTACTTACGCATTCAGTAAAAGGTTGTGAGAAATAACCCCATTGCAACGTATGCTCAACCCCACCCTTCCTATTAGCTGGTCTGTCCAGGTCGGAAAAGTCAGGTTTTGAAACCACAGCAGGTCGCATGAAGCTCCAGGTCCACCAAAATTGGACGAACCAGGGTTTGACTGTGGCTGCACAGCGCCCTGGGTCTGCATCGCAAACTCTCTAATGAAAATATCTTGTGCTGCCATCATTTTTGTCGACATCATGACTATTGCTTAATCTCAACCCTAACCCTCAGCACGTGACAGAATAATATCTTGCCTTTGTGATCATTGACCACCAACTGGTCAAGACCATGTCCCGAGCCTATACCAAGGAAGCGAGCCCTACAACCTTATATTCTGACAAAATTGAACCGACTTGATCCTATCTCGCGTTTTTATTCGATCTGGCTCACCATACACACGGTGACCCGCGGGGGAGGCGAGCCCTGCTAGTGGTCAGGGTTAGGGTTATGAGTACAGAGACAATATACTGTTTTACCTCGTTCAAGATTTAGAGAGTCGTGGTGTCGATTAGGTTTTCTATTTTAATGTTTTTTGCCGAGATATTGACCAACAAACATGTCGAACGGAGATATATGAGATTGCCTATTTCTGTGCCAAGTCCGAGCAAAATTTAAATTAGCGATGGACAATAAAGAAAAATACGATACTTGATCATGATCAGCACAACCTAGCTGTCTTTTTTTTTTAACAATTAAAACGTTAGGTTTATATCTGAAGCAAAGTCTCGCCATAAGATGAGGCATGCTCTGGGGCAGTATGCATTTACGTGTGGTTTAGGATGGGCTTAATAAAAGGATAAGAAGGGATTTAGTATTCCTCGTCTTAATTCTCCTACCTTCACGGTCATACTCACTGCTCTTTCTCCCATCTTTCTACTATTCTTCATGGCTGTCTCGACTTGTGGATTCCCGTCCTAGTGATAAATTAACAAGCAACCATCCGTTGACGAATCAGTAGCTAACCGCTGTTGGTACGAATGAAAATGATGATTTATTAGATACAGCAACAGTTCCGGCAAGGTAAGCCTGCCCTTGAGGAGGAGGACTACACCTCTCTTTCCGTTCCTATCAATGATCAACGAATCATGATCTATCAACCACGCCTTGTACCACTTGAGTTTCTGTTGATAAGTTTAGAAGGTTTACCCTAAAGGTTTGCGCTTGATGGGACTCAGTTCCTGGCCAATTCAAGCGACCTCATTCTTGCCCTACCAATATAATTAGCTACATAAAATATCACTCGTTTTCGAAACGTGTCGGTATTACCTTTTATGTGTTTTGCCTTGTTTTCTCTTTCCATAGTAACCGTTCTAGCTGATCAACTGTCTACGTATAGTTCTCTCAGACTCTAGTAAGATCTAAATCATGAAAGCATTCCTCCACCGCGTAATTAAATAGAATTGCTTATCTTCACGTTTTGTAATAGTTGAGTAATTCCTAACTGTCCATAGGATTGGGTGATAAGCCCAGTCTTTATACACATTAGTACAACTAGTAGTTGCGCTGTCACTAATTTTGGTAGCTTTAGCTAGCTTAGTCATCTGGGTTAGGGGTTTCTGAGCGGATATGTATATACATGGTAGCCGACCTAATCCGTCAATTTCAAACAAGTGCGCAATTTTTGGCCCGTTTAGTAAGGACAGGTTTACTGAGGAGGTTTATCTACACCTCCCAGTGCGATAAATGTATCATGAGCAATATGACCAAACCTTGACTATACTTTCCCTTTAAGTGGGTAAAAGCAGCATGAATTAAAAAAAAAAAATTTAGTGTACATGAGTTAAGAATATGCAATCGCGCCCCAGGCTTCATATTTATAATTTGGTGTATAAAAAACAGAGAAAGAAAGAAAAATTGACTATATGTAGTATATAACATTCGGTCTACTCCCTTTGTTTGCCCCTTCTCCGGCTCATCTTCTCATGAAACTTCACTCTCCTTACTGTATCCGGTTGCAAGGGCCCGAGCGCTTGCTGACTTAACGTCACCAACTTAGAACTGTTCAACTCAGCCTGCGCCCAGTTTTTCTGATCAGAGTACACATAGCAGAGGAGCTCAAGTACGCGTATAGTTTTTAAATGGTCCCTCCTCAACATGATTTCACTATCCTTCAACACTCGCAACAAAAGCCCCTCGGCCTCCTTCAAATTCCCACAGAATCTTTGTGTCTCCGCAAGCTTGACGTTGTGAATCAATATTTCCATAGGATCCTCAACGCGCTTCCCCAGTTCAGCAATCCTGTCCAACGCTTCATGAGCATCATCATCCAGGCCGAGCTTAACTAAGACCCGTGCCCAGTTGCTTAATTGTGTGACATAAGAGCATCCTTTGATATCCGAGATCTGTTCTTGAATCCTGATAAGCTTGCGTAGAAGACTCTCTGCTGATCTCAGGTCTTTCATGTTAATGAATACTACAGATAGGGCGTTCATTGCTTGGAGGGTCAGGGAGTCCTGGTTTCCAAGGATGTCTTTTAGGATAGGGAATACATTTCCCAGAATCCTTCTAGATTGCTCATTCGCCCCAACCCTCCTAGCAGCATCAGCGATCACCACTGCTGCATTCAGAGACTTCTTGTGCCAGATGGAACCTCCAGAATCTTTATAACGTAGAATCGTCTCGGCGAGAGCTCCAAGATACGGGATAGACAGTCTTGCAAACTCCCAGTCCTCTTTCGATGGAGTATGACCAAGGAATATCGAGTCGCCCACCTGCACCATCATCCTCTGTACAAGGGGAAGGCGCCGAGGGAGCCGATTTCGAACCCACAACCAGTTATGGATGGTTGCTTCTATCGAGATACGTTTGGATCGATGATTCTGTGATACAAGCCCATAATGTGACAATTTAACAATAGAGGAATTAATTCCTGCAGTTAAGAAATTAGTAAATTGTATCATATGACGCGGAAAGAGAGACCAGGGAACCCCGAGGAATTGAGATGAGATGAGGGAGGCTCTTACTCTCTTGAGGGCTCTTGAGGAAATGAGATAATATATCTAGCGCGATATTGCTGCTGCCCATAAAGGAGCAGAAAAGCAACAATTTGTCATCTTCGACAGAGAGTGCTTGCAATGATATCTCGAAAGGTATGATTTCTGCATATTCAGTTTCGTCTGTCCCATGCTCTGAATCCTGCGCAAGTTTCCGGCCTGTTTGGGCGTAGAGTTTCCGATAATCTGCGAGTGACATGGAGTGGATCATTAAATATGCTTTCACCGCTTGTTGAGCTAGAGGTGATAAACCAGGCCTATTGCCATCGTCCTTTACCATGTGAGACACTTCTATATCGTTAAAACTGTTCCCAATACGATGAGATAGACGGACATACTTGGATCGGAGGTTAGGTTCATATCTAAAGCGATATCGCTATTGGTATACACGCTTATATCAGTGATTTCACACCCGCTCATGTTATTGCTTACTCTGGAACCTTCTCCAGTAGCCTGGCTCTGGAAAAAACTGTCTTCCATGGGATATTCAGGGCAAGTCGTGCTGGAAATCGCGCTTACGAATGTTGGTTCGGCGGAGCGATGGTCATGGGATGACAATGTGCTTAAGATCTGAGCTGTCGGCTCTACCACCACCGGGTCACAATTATAACCCACAGGGCCAACACTGGAGGCAACACTGCCCTCGTTAGAGGAGGTATTTTCACTGAGGTCTATGGTATCAAGTGATGTTTGGCACATCAGCCGGGGCCTTCGGGTAGTAGAGCGAAGAGTCCGTTGATTCGAGCAGGTTCTTGAGGGCTCCTGGCGGGCACGACGACTAGTTACTTTCGCGATCCCCCATTTCTTCAGGTATTTTTGGTATGTACGCTCCCTAATTTGCGAAGGAAACAGTATTAGTCATTATTAATCGCCCAAGGGAGGAAGTGGTGGTGGTGGTAAAAGAGGGTGGAGGGGGGGGGAGCGTTCGAGGAATTAATTACTTTGCGCCATTCATATCCGGAAACTCTTTGTTGACAATAGCCATGACATCTCTAAGAGTTTTGTTTTGCCTACCATAGAGCTCCCGGATCAGCGCTTCCACCTCAGCTCCCCAAGGATAGGTCATGTTTAGTATTGTCTGTATTGTCGGATCTGGGGTGGAGTTTTCGTCCGTAGTTTGTAGTTCTTATATACTAGCTATAGCGGTGGGTCAGTACTGGTGAGGGGCGGAGGAATATCGGGAAAGAGGAGGGTACGTTGAGTCGAAGGAATTGAAGCGTGAGAGTTGAGAGGGATGAGTGGCGGGAGAGATCGATCAAGGACGGGATCGACAGTATCAAAGAGAAACTAGCTATCTCAAGCTATCTCAAGCTATCTCAAGCTCACGGGGGATTGATACATTGATTGATTGAGCATCTTTCGATACCATTGAGTCGAGAGTATTCCAGATGATCTATGTCGCCATGGCATACATAGCTACATGTACATCATACATACACAGCTAGTCCTGCGCTTCCTTGAAAAGTGCGACGCCCTTTTGTGCAACCACCCGAGGAAGCCTACGAGCCTCACTTTTGGCGCGCCCATTTGTGTAACCGCCATTCTACGCCACGCGACACATGTGAATATGTGTACCATATCGTTTCAGGTACTGTTCAGAGGACGTTCCCTTCGGTGACCATGATATGATCGAAGACAAAGAAATTCCCTGCAATGGCCTGTGTCCTCATTATTATCCTTGTTGACTCTGCAGAATAATGCCCCGAAGGCCAGCGGTGTTGGGTCCCTTTGAAATCTTCTCATGGAAAGCTTAAAGCCTCATACTCAACTCGAATAAGATTCGAATTCACATGTATTCCTCAAGCAAAACATTGATCTGAAGTTTGCCTTGTTAACGTACGTGAACGCCCAAGGCTGGTAAACAGCTCCGAGCTGACGCTGGTTCTAATGCAAAATCACGTACTCCTCTACAGTACTAAAGTCCCAGCAAGAACCACGATAAACGATGCTGAACAGGAGTCATTCACTTCATACATGTCATGGGATGATCATTGGCCATGGTCTAATAATATATATATATATTCTTATGAACGGAAAAGAAAAAGAAAAAAAAAAAAGGGCCTGTGCATACATTCGGACTTGGGACCCTGGTAATTAAGACGCTTCCATTGAAGGCTCAATAATCTTACTGGTGAAATCGAATTCTACGTATGGTATGAGGCACGAGGGAACCTGTTAAAGCTAATTAGCTCATAGTATTGTGCAATTGGGGTGGTTTCGAATTCGTGATAGCAGAGCCATACATATACGTGTACTGCATCATATCCGGATCCACCCTGAAGATGTTTTTTAGGCTTACACGATTCTACCGAAGTGCTGTGTGAGAGATTAGTACCCTTAATGGAGCTCTAGATGTAAGTAGTCTGACACCTATCGCTAAGATAGTTTGGATCAATCTACTAGCCATATGAGCAAGGCAGCAGAGATATATCTCGAATTCGTTTTACTGCGTAAAGGGTGCATGCTAGCTTATCTCCTCAGTCAGTAGTAATGGATCTATCTTTAACAAATAATAGTAGTAAATATGCTGTCCCGAATTAGTACCTGCCCAAACTACGAACACGTAACTATATCTCCACAGATATGTAGATATATTCAATTCAATTGCTTCAATAAAAAGATAATATTAGATATCTTCATGGCCGGCGGGGTCGGTGTTTGAAAGATAGGCTTGGGAATAATTTCCGGGAGATCTGTGTGAAAATGTGAGTTGTAGATATAGATGGTATAACCGTTATCAATAATTACATGCATCACAACGATTAAATAAAAAAAAAATAACTAAAGAGTTGACTCGACTAATCATACCTCAGTGCACACAATTAATGAATTATCAATCGATCAATCAAATCTCGGTATCGAAGGGATTGCTGGTGCTAGCGTATTATAGCTACATGAAGTTTCCAAGGTTGCCCCCAATACCCTGGTAGGATCTACCGCCCTTCCGTTCGAATTCCACTACAGAAGAAAAAAAAAAGAAAAAAACTAGGTTTTCAGGGATCGAGCACACTTTTAGTCCTGTGCAGGATCGAGGGCGGTCATCATTCTGGAACCGCCCTTCAAGAAAGCACGTGGGAACAGCACAAGACCGTAGGCCTAGAAATGGAAAAGCCCTTACTCGAGCACTCGTTGCTCTCTTGACCATTCATAACCCACCACTATATCTCAAATTACATTATATAAAACCAGTCAAAACTCCACCATAGTTATCGATATCGCTTTTCCCAACATCGGTTGAACCAATACTCATAGGTCCATACATTTTATACTTTAACACGACTTAAGCTAGACATTCCCCTCGCTATCGACTCTTACAATGCCACCTTCTGTATACAATTCCACTTCTGTGCTCAGTAACGATAGTCACTCTTCGGACCAGATGTAAGTATATTATATTGAAATTCCCTCGAAACCTCGTTGCCTATGTATTACTCTACTGGAAGTAATGCTAGTATACATCTATATTCTTGGCATCAGTTTCTGATTTTTATTTTATCAAATACCTTACCGTCGAAACGGGTAAAATAATAAGGCTGATTTTGAGCTCTAAGACAGGGCTCTTCTACTGTTACTAGTATGTCTTCGCGATCGGCTGCTGAGCACCTCAATATCTACGAATATCAGATTACCGAGGCGTCGATGCCAACGCTTTCTGCTTCTAGCTCACCCGCAATGCGTGGAGATAGCTTAGCTGATAGCCTAGCTGATAGCTATAGCTCCAGCAGAGATTTGGAAGATCTTGTAATCTCGAGGGTGAATACACCATCCTATCCCACGAATCAGTCAATGGAGCAGGAGGATGAGGAGTTTGTACCGGAAACATCCGAATGGAACGAGCTTCTGGACGCTCTTCAAGTTGAAAGGAGGAGAGTGACAATGTTTCACTCGATGAGCCCGATCGAAAGATTCCTGTCAGGTGAGAGAGTTGAAGATTGTTCGGTAGAGTTGCGAGTCTGGGGGGCTGAAGAGCACCCTAAACAATAACGACCGGAAGAAGATTCGGCGCTTCTTAAGTATGGTAAAACTAGCCTATTATCTGAGTCGAGGTTCAACAAGTGCCGTGTATGAGTAGGTATGTGTTTGATCAGATAGGAAGCAAGCTAGGGATGAGTGCTTTTTTGTTATTGTTGTCAGTGTCAGTTTTCCAAATATTCTCACCTCTTTGATTTTCTTCCTTTGAGTTTCCGTTGTTATCTCTTTCTTTTGTCACAGTTTATGTTATCTTTCTCTAAGCTCTTTCTTTTGTTACAATTTCCGGTCATTCTCATATGTAGGTACTTTCCTATCTATTTTCATAACACTACAAAGCTAGTTAGCAAGTTTACAAGAAGAAAAAAATTAGGTATCAAGATCAATTATTTAGCATTACCCCATACCTATATTCCTTTTTGGAGTAATATCCTATTAGAAAATACTATGACGGAAGGAATGGGTTAGGGTTATAGCATCTATATATGGTGATCCACCTAGAGTTTGTACTGTATCTACTGTCGGGTTACAAACATAACTCCGCACCCAATTACGGCAACCAAATAACGACCATCACAAGTGAGTATATTTCAACAATCACAATAGATATGAAAAAGGTAATTGTATATCCATGAAGGTTATAGGGAGCCATATTGGAACTAGTGCGCTTGCCCGTGGTTTGAATGAAGTGGATTGGTCATGAACTTTGGTTGCTATGTGGCCGGGGTGCGTAGTTATTTTTTTGTAACTTGGCAAAATAACAACGCCATGACACACGAGCTTAACTACGCCACAACGGCAGCTACAGCAAAGGCGAGACCATACCTTGGTTAGACCTCCCCCCCCCCCCCCCCCAAACCTCCTCTTTCTCACCTTCTCATCAGCCTTCCATCAATGGAAATATACACAACACGCCCTCGAATTAATTCAGATTTCAATTACGGAACTTCTCTGCCATGTCTGAGTATGTATACCGATATTTCCTGAATCCCACCCCCCGCTCCATGAAATAATTTCATACGACCCCCTGCCCTCCTCCAGGAACGCACCGCACAATGAAAGTTAATCGGATCAAGACTGTGAGTATTTCCAAAATATAGTTACATATTGCAAAGACCCTATACACCTAAAAATTGATGTCATGCTTTAGGTGTAGCTCTTATGGATTTGCGGCCGGGGGTCAGCCGCTCTTCACGACAAACTTCAATGAGTAAACTACATACGTATATACGTATTAAGCGATTGTCCCTGCGAAAATCACCAAAAACATTACACCCGTCGACGCCCTTAATGACAAATAACCCCAGAAAGCGACAATTGCACAGACTGCTTAGCGACAAATCGCCAAGTGTTACTATATTTAGAAAATCTTTTGCTATAGCGACGGCGATACCTGTTTTATCCATGGATCTACTAAATACATCTTAATACAATCGAGAATTAGGGGTTTCCGGAACACCATATACATATATTTAGCATTTAGCTTCTGGTGGCATTAATAAGGAACATGTACAGTACTTTGCTTGTTGCATCACTCATCTCTCGCGCTGTAATCTTACATAAATGTCAAATCCTGTAGGGTCTGCATGTCACTTGGTACCGACAATAGGCCCTTATAAACCTGACCCTCGGGTCTTTGGAGTAGATGGATCGTAAGATGAGAATGCAGTAAGAGAATAGACAATAATTCTATTCCAATTCATAAGCCTTGAAGATAGCGCAAGAGATGAGACCTGTTAAATCTTGCACGATGTTATCTGGAGACGTTGATAGCACTGATCTACTTACTAACTTGCACACAAGATATACACTTTCTATGTTATGTAAACAAACAAGATCTATCATCATTGGTTTTACAATTGTAATTGTGTCTAATTAATTCACCCATAGGCGTGCACACAGAAAATAAGGTTTATATTGACGCCCCTAACAAAATCACCCGCTATATATCTCTGATACATGTGCTATTCCCTTCCTGTCCCTTTTACTGTGCCTTTCCAAGGTAAATGTCGCATAATAAGGGTCATTTCCATAGATTTTGATTCCGGACCCCCCATTTCTCGATTCTCGGGCTTGGTTTCATTTCATAGTTTTCACTACCACCTTTTCCTGTCTTTTGAATGCAATATATACACCTTTTCAACAACACTTTACACTCCCTTTATATAACATGAATAGCTCTAGCTATAGTTCCGGTCAAAGTCATGAATCATGCAAGGTTAGTATTTGTGGCATGAGTTAATTCTATTTCCATACGTATACCCTTTCTATCCCGAAACGACATAACTGCATATTCTTTCCCTCATGTACTAACTGATGCGTTCCCATATAGGTTTCGAGAATGCTTCAGCTCTTAACTCACGCCGTGTAAGTAAATAGCTATCTATAGAGATACCAACACTACTTTAACTCACTCACGATAATATAATATGGCTCACGCTGAACTAGGAGAAAAAAGGAACCTTGGATTCTATATGTACTTACATATATACTGCAGCTGGACTAGGTAATAACTAGGCAGATATAAGTGCTCTACCACGCGAGTGTCACGTGATGCAAGGAGATCTCCAGTGTTGGATTTAATCCCCGCTCATAACCATACTTGATTAACCTCAAGCTCAACCTCCGTCTGTTTCCTAGCTAATTCCATCCTCCTCGTCCAAAATAAGTTTGCCAAGATTATATAATTATTATTCGCACGCCGGTGTGCGTTTTCTACCTTCTTTTGATTGCAATTGGCCGACAATCAACTGCAGGATATATACGCACCCCAGTAATTGAATAGACGGCCAGTATGGAGCGGTAAATGTGTCAAAAAGTAATTTTACCAACGGTAGTAAATTATTTACCACCGGTGGTATAAGCACTGAATTTCAGTCATTGTGTCTGCACGCTATCCTACATTAGTACATTTCCACCGGTATAAACACTGGGTTTCGGTCTTTATGCTGCGCTATACTAAATAAGTAAATGTTCAATCATTAATGCCAAAACTTATGAAAACCTCCCACCGGTGGTGAAATTCCCCACTGGTGGACAATTTTCATATATATTGGCATTATAAGGCCCCTTTTGGCCAAAAGGTCTGTGCTTTTATCATAAAAATTAGCATTATAGGGTATAAACAATGGTATTATTTTCACCACCGGTGGTAAAATAATTTACTACCGTTGGTAAAATTACTTTTGACACATTTACCGCCCCATAGGCCAGTAGTACTCACATAAAAAGTTGAATCTACTGGCTTTTCGAGCCCTTACACGTATGAGATAAAGAGCTACTAGCCACAACTACAGTCGTTCACCGTCGTTTGACGAATACTACCACAGGGTCGGGATTTTGAGCCAATAGGATTAAAAGAACTGGAGATCTCGCAGCTTGGCTGTTGCTGGACTGTTAATTTCTTGCCATACTTGGAACCCCTGTTCGTCAAGTGGAAGTATTCGTCAAGAGACGGTGAACGACTGTAGCTTAGGTTAATAAAGCTTAGGGACATTGTAAGATCATGACATTATGACGATTAGCTTAAGACAAGGCGGCAATAGTAGCTTAGTTGTATTTAGCGAGAGAGGGAGTTCCCCATCTCTCTTCATCTCGTGCATTAGGACAAATGGAAGTAATTACAATCAGCCTCTCTGTCTTACTTCACATGCAACCAATTGGGGCTGAAAGGCCCCATATATATAGGCTCGGGGAAATGATTGGGGAGCTGATATATATCTTGTTAGTTAATTTGTGGCCGGGGAGGCCAAAATATACCATATGATCTCGGGAAGAGAGGGCCTATTTCTCGATTCACCTTATTCCAGTGAGGAGAGGAAAATCCTCAAGCCAACACGTATACCCTAACCCACCACTTGTTCAAGTTGCACGTTGACAGTACCCTACTTGTACCTAAGTATGTAATATCCAACAAAGCGAACTGATATCATGCTGGTAGGAATGTAGGTACGCGCATATGTATGCATGATTACACATGTACCTACATGTACATGTAGGTACCCCATTGGAGCTTACAGCAAGACTGCATGTATATAGCCGCCGGCCCTACATACAACTTCACGAATTCAATGCTCTTATGTAAATTTACGGGGGTCCTAGGATCCTGCGCACACGGTAGATTAGAGTAGTGCGCACACGTATGTACATGCATTTATCGCCAAACTCGACAATAACAAGCGGGCCAGACCGAGCTGGCTGTAGGGTGAATCAAATGGGCGTATGCACGTTGAGGCTCGATGACAACCGCCAAAAGAGTAAGTCCTCCATTCAGAGTACGTTATTCCATATTTCGTGACATCCACCGGTAATCATACATCATCATATAGAGGATTGTGTGTATCGCACTGTCAAGTGGTGCGCACTTAGTTCAATAAACGAATCGGCTGGAACCAGATGGTTCCTTCACAAGCTGTCATACCCATTTTTTGCTTTTAACAAGGCTATGTAGTAAAAGGAGGATCAATCAACGGCTCGGGCTTTGAAGTCTTGGTATCAGCATTTTCTCCCGGGGAGCCGTGCTCTACCAGTGGTCTATGGTTCGTCTCGCAAAGCGGACGGCAGGGCAATATCTAGAAGACCCGTTGGCTGTAGGTACAATATGTTGGCTCATATTGGCTATCTATTTTACGACTACGTACGTATTTCAATTATTACCACCTTGCCCATACAAGAAGGCGTCTAGTTCAGCATCGAGGCTAACCACTGGATCTGAATCAATCTCTTACGTATACGTATACTATCCAGAGATTTAGCCGGACCTTAAACCGTCAAATGGGCACTTTCATGTGGATGCCATTCGCCACCAACTGGAGGCAGTAATAATCAGAATCATTATGCAAGACCTGTTTTGCTGATATCCCTTCGCACTCAGAGGAAGAAGCAAACATGCTAATGCTTAGGAAAAGGGTTATTTGTGTAGCAGATCAACGGCGCCCGTCCATAAAAATAAACCTGTATTCCTCTTTTTTTCTTTTTTTTCCTGCACGCAAGTACGTTTATGTACGTACTAGACATTCAGCGCTACCGCTAACCTCCGAATTAGTGTAGTGATTAAAACAGGTATATGAAGATGATCAGGACTCGTTTAATTTCCCTCCCAAACCACTAGCATACCTGACGTTCAACATCAGTACATCTATAAATCACTTACATAAAAAGTCTCGTTGAGATATGAGCACCAGTCATAGCGAAAGCGGAAATGGCAGTGGAAATCAAGCAAGGCGCGGGGGTGAGAATTCGACACAACTGGTCCCCCGAAGACCTGGACCTACACCAAGACGGCCATTAAAATCATTGTATAAACGTATAGATAGATTGTGGGCTCATATCATATTCATATGGTGTATAGATACATATACTGATGGTCTTTTCCCACCTGTACCTAGTTATGATGCCGATTACGCCGAGTGGAGAGTCGTCTCAACTCCCACCGAAATCGTTCATAGTCAGGATGAATATTCTGATTTTGCATTCCTTGTCCGCCGAAATCTAGACCAGGAAAAACAATATCAGGATACTATTCTCATCATAAAGTCTTCGGACCTTGGGCAGATCATCAATGCTGTCGTACACAATGTGGAGGGTCTATCTGTGATTGGCAACTCGTCCGAAGTATGATTAACACGTGCACAGCACCGCTCTTGCATCAGGATATACCCAGTATTTTGCTGATATTTACCTAGATATCTCCCCATATACTTTATCACTTCCTAGATGATTTGCGAGACTTCGAAGTTGCTTCGCTTATGTTCTTAATAAATACCGAGGAAGCCCAGGTCCAGCTTAGGGCGCTAAACTCTTTCCTCCAGTCTGAATATGAGTTTGAGGTTACTTTTGCAAATCAGCTCCTTTCATACAACCCACCTCATATAACCTTTGGGTTACTCTGGCTGATATTTAGGCCAAACACTGTCGTTTTCACTGAAACTAGTGAAGAGGGGCTCAGTGGGCGTTTACTTGCACTTCAACTGCCCATAGAGCTACCTAACGGATTCCGCCTGAACTGCAAATCGATCAACTTTGATGGGAAGAACTTAGGGTACGAAAAAGAAAAGTTCACGATCGATGGGTTCACAGGGACTAGGCCAATCACTACCCTTCCATTTTTCCCTTTTCATTTTCATTCTGAATATGCCTGGCTAGAGCGCAGATTTGCGGACAGGGGGCGAAAATTCAACGCATTGTGTCACTCGGGGAAAAGATACGTTCATTATAAGGGGATAGCTGAGGCTATTGGTGAGAGTTTTGGTGAGCAATATCACACCGGAATAAAGGTGACTTATTTATTCTTTCACCTGTTTGTTCTTTCGGATCCTGGTCGTGATGGTGATCGATTAGTGGTCTGATTATTTAGCTAAAGAATGACCCTTAAGTTGGTGTGATGCGACTGACACACAATTCTGCAGTTCGATTTAAGCAATCGCGTTATGCTTGACCCAGAAACATTCTGGAATCTCGAGCGACCTGGTAATAAACCATCGATTCAAAAAATCGAACACCGGCCTCTAGATGAAACGGAATTACAGTTATGCAACACCTGGCTACCAGGTTTCATCATGGAACATAAGAAGTGGGGTACGTATTTCCGTTTTCTGGATGGACGGAAGATAAAATACTCATCATTGACAACTTGTGAAAGGATTCATCCCTATAAATGATGTCATGGACATTCAGTGGGTAGATGACATGCTAGATCACGTGGTCCTCGAACGAACGACAAAGGAGTTGATTCGGAGCTTTGTTACAGCACATGGAAGTGTATCTGCACTCGGTCAATCAGAAGATGTTGTTCCCGGAAAGGGGGCGGGACTTGTTATGCTCTTTACAGGCCCACCTGGGGTAGGGAAGACTGTTACAGCTGTATGTTCCTAGATCTTAGGACGAATATCCATCAACCAGGAGTACTCGAAGTCTACCGAAGCTAAGAATGACTAGGAAGCTGTTGCAGAGATATCCCGTCGACCCCTTTATTCCATCTCATCAAGTGAACTAGGTTCCATGCCCAATGAGCTAGATAGGAACCTCACAAAAATATTACGGCAGGGAACCTTATGGAATGCTCTACTCCTCCTCGACGAAGCGGATGTGTTCTTGGAACAAAGAACGAGCTTTGATGTCAAGAGAAACTCTTTAGTTTCCATCTTTCTTCGGCAATTGGAGTATTACAAAGGAATCATTGTCCTCACAAGTAACCGGGTGGAAACATTTGACAAGGCACTTGAGAGTAGGCACCTCCTTTCTCTTTATTTTTGTTACTTTTCGCTCTTTATTAAGTCGTGAAAAGAGTCCTATTCTAATCTTCAATTTACTATCAAGGTCGGGTTCATTTCAATCTTCGTTTTAAAGAACTTGATAGACCTTCAAGGGAGCAACTGTGGAGTTACTTCATTACAGAGTACAATCATGTATTTTCTGATGCTCATCTGAGAGATCTATCAGAACTCAAATTTAATGGCAGGATGGTACGTTTACCTATCGAGAAACTATGTTCTAACGACGAATATATACAGGGACCACTAATAGTGTCTATTACCTTAGATCCAGCATGCTGTAGCTCTAGGCCGCTCGCTTTCCAAGGCCCGTGGAGAGGATTTTTCCTATGACCATATCCTACAAGTCCTTGACTTTATCGATCCAGCACGGCGTATCCAGAGATTTGCCAACCATGAGGACGGACTTCCAGACGCTTCGCCTGCTGACCCTTCAATGAGTACAACAGAAACCCCTCGATCGGATTCTTTTATGTCTCCGAACGGTATAGTCCCCCTAAAGAATGAAAAAAATACCAGAAATAACCCAGAAGAAAGGAAATATACTGATATATTTGTTAGACATTCATGGATCAAAGAGGCCTAGGCGTAGATAGTATCCACCTAGCGAACATCTTTCTTTCATATCCTTTCTGCTGGAAATATTCATGCAGATGACACGTGGCACTTTATTTACTTCTCGTAAAGAAAATCTTTGTTTTCTATATTACCCCGGGGTACGGTATCCGTCGATGCCTTCAACCTACTTTGTAGGCCCCGTATTGTCAGTGTCTGAATATCTCCTATACATTCAACGCGAGTTTTAGGATAATGGTTGAAAGAGGCATGAAAGATAGTGAACCAAGATCTCTTTTTGCATACTTCATTATGGACGTAGCAGCCCAAGGTTGTAATTCGAAAATTCAAAACTTTCTCATAATTGCTAAAACCGGGTATATAACTAACCTAAGATGGTTATATGAACAGGACCTATTGGGACGTTACTCTGGCTAGACCCAAAGATCCTTTGCATGTACTATATACCCAGTGTTAATCTTTCATTTAATAATATAGTCCCTGTGGGAGTTATGATCAGGCTACGTATCCAGCGGGGATTCGTATCTCTATTTATAAATTTAGGAGATACCCATGCCCATGAATCCTTCCTTCCTTCTTCTCGTTGCTGAATTTGACGTCCCATGGGGGGTTGTGGGGGGGAGGAAGCATGCTTTAGAGTTGGTTCGAATGTATGCGACTGATAAAGAGGAGTGTTTAGAGTTGGATAGCTGGAGGGGTGGAGGGGTGGAGGGGTTGGGGTGGAGCGAGGGGTAAAGCGGAGAGGAAGTTACAAGGCAAGTAAGCTTATCTTGACGCATGTCTGGCGCGATAAGCGAGGAGCGGGCCGACCCGCAGGTACTCTAGCGCAGGAGGGTGCGGTACAAGTACTAGTAGAGAGCGGGGTGTTGCCAAGACGAACTGGCCAAGACGGACCCCTCTAAACATACATTATCCCTTCGTCTGTCGACAAAATGCTGCCCCCAAGAAAAAGCAAATCTGGTGTGGCTTTACTAACAGATCTCGTTATCTCTCTTATCAAATAACAGATCTCACATACAAAATTTGATTTCTCTATTATGGGGGGGGGGGGGGGCAGCAATCGACAGACGAAGGGATACAAACAACCTAATGTGCAACCTCAAGCTAGTGGGAATAGAGCTAATGAAACAGCCTGAATTGTTTAAACACGCCGCGAACCATAAGAATAGAAACAATCTAATATCAAATCTTTGAAATCCAAAGCTATCCCATGGCAATGTAAGAAGCGCCTGCAGCATACAAGATGCTATCGTCCCAAGTGTTAAGACTCCAATCCATCTTCGATCGATCGACCGTAGCGTGTCTCATGAAGAACCGCAGGTTACGAACATGATCCATATCGAGATAGTTCAAGGCCACAAAAACGCGGGGCGTCGTTTGAAAGGTATTACCAAAGTCAACAGTCCCGGTAGTTATCTGTCGTGCTGGGTGCGACGATCGCACCTGTAGTGTGTTGAAACTACCACTCAAGACTCTTGGGGTATCTGCTGGATAGGCAAGCCATGTGGACTCGGCACCGTACAAAAGAGAATCCCCCCAGGTGTCGATGTGGAGGGTAAAGCCATCCGTGGTGACTTGAGAAGCGTAGGTCTTGACCCGCCAGTTCGTCCTCTTGTCCATGGCAAGAGCACTTAGCCACACCACCACCACTGGCGGGAAAGGATACTCATGCTCGAAAGAGACTTTTCGTGCGAAGCGCTCCATCACCGTCGTCCAGGGTTGGTCCCATGCCACAGCTCCAAATCGCAAGTCTGGATCATGATCTGCTGCAATTGCCAACCACGCGCAACCACAACCATGTAGATTTGCCACCTCCCAAGTATCCAAGTGAACCGTGAATCGGTCACTCCGTATGTTGCTAGTGTAGGAATAGATCCGGACATGATCCCCATTCGCTACATCTATATCAGTAAGCCCTAAAAGCACGCCGGAGGGCTTCTCGGGGTAAGGAGTTTCGAAGATAATTTCCTTTGGGCACTTATGCTCTGGCTGGTTTCTGGGGCGTATGTCATCGGTGTGGAAAGATCCAATAACCAAATCTAACGGTTTCTTAACCTCCCTCGTGGTAGATTTCAGTTGTGCGAGCTCTCTCCTGAGCTCATCATTGGTTTGTCGGAGTGTCTCAAACTCTCCTCTGAGATGATGGTTGGATCGCCGGAGAGCCTCAAGCTCTGCCCTGAGTTGATCGTTGGATTGTCGGAGAGCGTCAAGCTCTACTCTGTATTGATCGTTAGATTGTTGGAGTGTCTCAAGCTCTGTCTGGAGTTGATCGTTGGATTCTCGGAGCGCCTCAAGCTCCTCCCCCAGTTGATCGATAGTTTGTAGGAGTATCTCAAGCTCTTGAGGATCTACTAGCCCCCCAATTGTAGCTTGCAGTTGTGTGATCTCCGCCTTAAGTTTATCGCTGGATTGTAGAAGCGTCTCAAGCTCCTCTTTACAGTTTTGTAGAGCGGTTGCGAGGTCCTGAGACATTTTCTCAATAGAAGATGGATAAACCTGCAGGGAACACTGGCACTATCGAGTGAGTCAGTAGTCAGCTACTTGGGAGGTAACATGTTCCAAGCAAGCTATGTATCATTACGCCTACGGGATGGGAGAGGTTGGTGGGGAGCTTACGTCCACAAATATCTGCTCATAGAACAACGGTGGTGCGGCTGTTAATACACGATGGGCGTTCTGTGAGGAATCTAGATGGAGAAAATACCAAGAATCAACACATGGGTGAGATTCTAGAAGGGGGCTGTAGTTCATACAAGAGTCTATAGTGAGGGCGAGGGGTAGCAGACCTTGGTATTGACATGAAACCAAATATGGGGCTGTCACGAGCGGGCTTGAAATTAGATACGGATTTGCGGCATAGGCGGTGGCAAGGGCAGTAGTAGACATTAATATATTAGCGTTCGCTCTTACTAGCAGTATCGAGTCTACGGTGGACAAACTCGAGGGAGTCAGTATGGTTTGCCTGACATTGTTGTGTGCAACGAAGCCTATTCTATCATAGCCAGACGCCTTCTCTAGCCACCCCCTCCCAACCTGAAAGCATGAGCACTCCCGACAACTGTGTTGTCGAGGCCAATCACAATGAGGATTCCGATAATCATATTCGAGTGAGATTTTGTTCGGGGTGACCGGCCTGGAAAATTTCAATGAATTGACTAGACCCCCAGAATAGGTAGCACGCATATGATCATAGGCGAGTTAAGATCTGTGGCTTGTGGGCGATAACGTTGCCCTGGAGTTACATAGCATGTCTCGTCCATGATTGGCCAGCTGAGGGCTGAGCCTTCGTCTCAGTAACTCAGGGTTAGGGTTGATAAGCGACAGCTCGGGTGGAACAAACCGGTATTGCTTGAGCTGAACTCTCCGCCCGACTGGAGATAATTATAAACGCCCTCCAAAACCGATCTGGAGAGAGTTCTTACGCCACAAGATACACACTCGCCCCCAATCGTATGTTTGTCGCCTTAATCAATGCGATCACAAGGGATGGGGCCGGCTACCACTGACAGATACGGGCATATACACTTCAAACACGTACTTAGTACTATAGCTACGTATATGGTATAACTAACCTTCGACGATCTAATCGAGAGTTGTTATCTATGCGCAGACCAGCCGACGGACGTATCTATGATAAATTGAGAGAGGTTTGGAGATAATACTCTACAGTACCGTAATATAGATCCTACTACATACAAGCATTTTCCGGCCTTTGGCCGGAGTAGGAACTGTTATGGCTTAAACAATATCAGTTTACCAACGCTTAAGATCACTGAAACCCCAAGATGCCCTGTGCACATATCTGATATACTATTTGGTTGACTCAAGGTATGTTGGAACCAATATCTACTGGCTGACTCAAACATATTTGATAGAATATCTACTAAATCCAACATATTTGATAAAATATCTACTTACTGACAAACATATTTGATAGAGAAAAACAAAACCCCTCAAACCTGGCCAATCAAAACCTTTAAATAACACATTGCATATCGGTATATCTATATACTTATTAGATAGTAGTCAACTATTCAGACAGATATGACAATGATCACCATGCCAAGATATATATCTATCTGGATCTGGATATCAACACATGTAATTTGTATGGCGGGATGAACTACTATAACTACATGTACTCTACTACAGGTATGCGCAAGTGTTCTAGATCTTTCAACCCGTTGCCCGCCCAAATGCACGTGCTTTATGCAGCTACCCTAACGCCTCATTTGACAAGGGTAGCTAAACATTATGGTATTACTCAAACGCCTCCGGTTACAAAAGTGGAGAAATACTTCTGCGATACAATGCAGATATCCGTATGTAGAGGAGGTCACGGAGGAGAGAAGTGGATCTAGGTTGTACATACTATGTAGGTGAATATATCTGCGTTTAAATTGCGTTTTGAAGAAACTGCATCTCGTAGGAAAGCCCAGTTTATAACAATTAAACGAGATTCTAAGTCAGCTTATACCCCACACATACCACACATACCCCACTGGTATCACTAGGGCGACTATGGGGAATATCTGTGGACGATATATCTCGAATATATATGGAGAGCTACCCCGCGCCGGAATTGCGTCCGAACAGGAGTAAAAAGAAGGTTCCGATTTTAACTTTTCCATTCATCAAGTCACTTATATGCAAATCACTACGTGAAGATTCGTTGGCGGATCCTGAGAAGGCATTCCCTACTACTGGAATTACACCATGAGATCGAGATCCTATGTGGTACCCGTGAACAAGCTGGCTGTTCGGTGATGTACATATTACGTATATATGATATCGCCTATGTACTAGCAACAAGCACGGGAGATATACTCGAGTGGGTGGACTCAGTGGGCATCTCAGGGCGCAATGATATGAATGCAACAAGTAATAGTAACCACGATTGATTCCAGGTGCGTACGTCAGCCTGCACGTTTCTGTCTCTGCTCTAGATAATTTCACCTGGGCAACCATATCGGCGGTTATCGAGAGGGCATCTCGTTGCGCCTGTGTGCAGTGATTCCCATTTGTGGGGTGTGAAACATGTCTTGGAACTCGAGTGAGACATTTCTACGGAAACCAGAATTCAACCACACACTAGCTTTCATAGATCAGACCCTACGTTATCCAGTCCAGTTAATTCTACATATGGCCATCCCTCTGATCACCCTTAACAGAGGCATATCCGTGGGATTAACTGGGCATGTATATATAGATTAGCTGGCTAGCTACATGTAGTATATATTCAGAGCATTAATGGATTGATGTCTCGAACTTCTGTGGGGAAATCGCCCTAGATGGTAGCTGTATAACTGAACAGCCTTCCAAAGCCACATTTCGCTTTTTCAGCTCAGATATTTGTCTCATTGAACTCTCATCTTCAACCCGGACTCATACGAATATCACGAGATCGACTAGCTAGATGATTATGAGTTCTCCAGAAGAGATCATCCAGAGAGGAATCTAGAGCTTTTGTTCCTCAGCCGAGAAGCAGAGGTTATACCTTCTTTGGATTAGAAGACGAGGAATTTGATATAAAGCCTGTATCATTTGGTTTCGGTCTTGCCGTGATACACAGTTTGATTATCAGAGGGGAACGGGATATTTTGTCGTGCTCGAATCATGGAGCTAATGTTTTCAGCTCGACCTACATCATTGAGTTGATCATTGGGCACTTGCTAATATGCATGTCCAGGTATAGCTGCAGTACGTACATCCGTTTTTCTGGTCGTACATCGTGGTCTGCATGTGTACGTCTATAGGTTGTTTCACAGCGGCAGAGCTAGAGACTCGCCGGAATACGTTACATACATGTACAAGTATGTAGTCGGGCGCCAAATTAAGTAGCCATCTTAGAGAATTATGCATGGCTAGCCCTCATCGTTTCCTGAAAATGTTTCGGAATTCGGAATAATCAGGATTATCAGCTCGCCCTGTACTTCCAGTCTTTAACATTCCTCGCCCTCTAGCGCTTCTCATCTCGCCCTATATAAGATACTGTCTCTGCCCCCCCCCCCCCCCCGGGGGGGAGATGAGGATAAAGAAAGAGAGAGAGCATCCACATCCACAAGAGATTACGAGAGTTCAAACCCACACACACACAGAAATCTAAGATTCTATACTCATACGAAATGTCTACTTCATGCACCGAGGCACCACGCCGACACACCTATCGTGTTGGCAAATGGCGTCCCGAAGATGCAGAAGTTTTGAAGAAGTGGCTAGACAACTTGATCTAGCATGTCGACAAAAAGAAAGCTAAAGGCGAATGTGGGGACCGCAGCCCCGTCATCCAAGAGCTCGCCGAGTTAATCGAGGGCGAATCTATCCTCTTTATGCTCTTTAACCTGATGTTTACCCAGGTCCCAAACAAACCTCCTTACAATCTAGACCCAAACAACGACCCGCAAGTCCGTGACTACAACCACATGCTCGACTTGTTCGACGCGATCCTCACAACGGCACAGACTACAAGCCGGAAGGCTTGGTTGGCTTCCCTATCAACGCCATCCTGGATTGGCCCATGGGCACTCCTGCTGGCTTCGAAGCGTTCCATAATCCCAAAGTCAACGCACAGTTCAAGAAGATGTTGGCTGTGTGGGCAACCTATTTTACATCCCCCGCATCGGCCAGCGTTCTTAATACGAGCGAGGATGGCTGGTTTGGCCCAGAGGCCGAGAAAGAATCTGTGCTACAGAATTTCGCTGCCACCTTTGTTTGCGACCCCACGAAGGAATACCACGGCTACGTGTCATGGGACGACTTCTTCACTAGACTATTCCGTCCGGGCGTTAAGCCCGTGCTACAGCCGGACGACGATAGATTTATCTGCAGCGCATGCGGATCGGGGCCATACGCCTTCACGAAGAATATCCAGGCACGTGATCCTTTCTGGATCAAGGGCCAGCCATATTCAGTCACCGATATGCTGTCAGGGCCAGATGCCTCTCCCTACGCCTCGCAATTCGTTGGTGGAACCGTCTACCAGGCCTTCCTCAGCGCCCTGTCCTATCACCGCTGGCACAGTCCCGTCAACGGTACGGTGGTCAAAACCTGCATCATTGAGGGGACATATTACTCGGAGAGGATCCAGCACTGGCCGCCCCCAAGCAGTACAAGGACGGGGCCAGAGCCGGCGGCGCCAAACCTGTCCCAGGGCTATCTCACCGAGGTTGCCACTAGTGGTCTCATCTTCATTCAAGCGGACAATCCAGATATTGGATTGATGTGTTTCATGGCTGTGGGCATGGCGGAAGTATCGACGTGCGATATTCAGGTCGCTCCGGGTGACAAGATGGTGAAAGGTCAGGAGATGGGAATGTTCCATTTCGGAGGATCGTCACATTGTTTGATCTTCCGCGGCGGAGTGAATGTCATTTCAAACCTTCCCGAGACACCAGGCCCAGACTCCTCACCTCTCGCACTCAGTTCGGCCATCCTCTTCGTCCCCTCTGCCACTGACGGACAGTAAACTACATGTACCTCCTCCGAATGGACTGTATATGGCAGGTATTTTTAAAATTGTGTTTTCTTCTGATTTCCTTGGAATAATCAGGATTATTGTTGAATTTGTTTCTTGTAAGGAATGGGTGGAGCCGGAGTAGACGTAGGAGGTTGATGAAGCTTTTTTTTTCTTGTTTATCTGCCATTCTCTATGATAGTTCTACCGTCTTTACAAACATTTATGTACCTGTTGAATTCATACGTATACTCAGAACTCATATATCCCCGTGCATATCTATAAGGGTCCGTGAATGTCCAAGTACAATCTGTAGATCCCCACCTACCTTCTGAGTACTCCTCACTCGTCATCTGCTTGCAACTTGATGTGGCGAGCTCGAGCCTACCATCGCACACAGGACAGTTAATTACATGCGCATATATATAATTCATGTTAAGTACTCTGCATCAACCTATATATCAACCACCATTAAATTATGTTGCAACATATATATAGCCACCCGTCTCGCGTGATCAGACGAAATTTCATTTAGCCAATAAAACCACTTTCATTTGTAGTTCCTCTAGATCTAGTGGAGGAATAAACGTTAGTACTATTTTAATTAACAAACGCATTGTATATACAGACCGAGTGATGGAATATGATGCACCATGGACGGTCATAATGATAACCAGAATACTTGTATCCCTCGGTAGTCAGGTCAGGTCAAGTCAACAACTTAGAGGTTAAGGTACAATGTTCGATCTCTTAACAAAACAAACAGTACCCCGTAAAATCTCTCCACATCTGATGATATACTGTAGTGTATCTTTGTTGGAGACCGCGAGTCGTTTCGAATTCCACCATGGCCGCCACATATGCCTTGTCTGTTTATCTGTGAAAGCTACATACATACATATTGACGCGGCTTGATTGTAAGTATATAGCACCTACATGCATGTACCTTCCTGTTGTCATGATAATATAAAAAAAACTTGACACATTTCATTCCAGCTTGTACAGCACCGGCTATCTCGAATTGCTACAAATATCATATCCACACAAAACATATAATTATATAATATTAAGCCGTGCAGCTAGAACTATTAAATTTACAAATATGGGCCGCGAGGAAATCTTCTGCGACATGAGATATCACTCGATCACACAAAAGTTCGATTCTTCGAATTTGAGGTAACATCAGGATTGGATACAGTACGATCCTTTATATATAACTCTTCTACATCTGTTTGTCCTATTCATACTCGTATGCCACTGACTCCACGCCCTCCAGGGACATTTTTTCTGTATCTATGAATTGTCAAGTCTTGGTACTTTAGGAACTTGATCCGGAATTTGGTTGACAGATTTCCAATTTCCCCGGGAGGTTATGATAGTATTTTGTACCAGCATTAGTGCATGAATCTCCATGCGTATATAGGAATATATACATACCGCATAGATTGTTTTTCTGATGTAGTCGATCAAGTAACGGACTCGAAGTCTGTCCTGGGTGAGTTATAGCTGGCGGGAGAATTGAAGACCGAAGCAGAAAGGCAATAAAAGTATATCGGAATAGTTATATTTGTTCATCCCTTATCTTTGAGAGCATTAGTGGCGGTAAAAAGGGAGATCTAGAGATAAAATATATTAGATATATCACAGCCTCTGGGCTACAAACAATCAATGGGTTTAACAACTATAACAAAGCAACGAAGTCAATCTTTATGATTTACTTTAATTCCCATATCTGTATTCAATAGGTAGATTTATATACGAAAGAATTCAAGAAAGAAAGAAAAATAATTCCAAAAACAGGCATGTTGATTTTGTACTTTCGGGCCTGGAGCTGAGAGTTAAATCCCTTGGTTGGGTTATTTTTATATGAGTTCATATGTGACATGCTTTTTACATCATTGCCAATATCACATTACGAGAGTCTAGAAGTAACACAAGCCCTGTGAAGAATTACTACAAGGTGTTTTACTTAATGAAATTGTATTAGATGATGTACAAGTCTACATGATAAAAAGTGATTTTAGGCATAATCAGTGCCAAGACTGATTACGTAAACTAGACATGCATTCTTTGGATGACACCAGAACTTAGGTATTGTGGGTCACATCAGCAAGCATAGATCAGATTGAGTATTCAAGTAAGCTACTGGGCAAGAACATAAGCGAAAGGACAAGATGTCACATTCTGAGGTGTCATATAGCTAGTTATCTATTACTCTACTTCTCAGGGGGCGAGTTGCGAGTATTCCGCAGGGTACTAAGGGGGTAGTAGAGGTCGGTGTGGGAGCCTGCAGTAGGGGTCCAGAGGGACTCTAGTGTTGGTAAGTCTCAACGAGACAAGGGAAGCAGCGGCATGGTGGTCTTTTTGAGTGAAGAAGAGAATATAATATTATATAGTAATAGACAGCGTAGGTACAGAAGACATTGTATATCAAAAGAAAGAAGAGAAAGAGAACAGAAACGAGGGCGAAACCTCCTAATATACCCAAGGAAATCCTAGCGATGATAAATCCAAAGTGACTCATACACTTACGACTGACAGAACCAGATAGAATTCAATAGAATCTTTCCGACTAATCCAACTCCTCGTAACCCAGTGTATTAACTAATCGATCCATGAAACTACTTCTACACATAGACAATTAACCCTGCATTATCGATTGATTGATTCTGATTCATCGACTTATCGACTTTTCTTCCTAATGTGAATGAGAGACAGCCACAAATAGTGACCCCACCAGGATCTAGGTAAAACAAAGAGATCGAAGGACAAAAGAAGCATGAAAAGAACGAATGGAGAGGAAAGCAATTGAAGAAAAAGCAAAGTTGCTGCTGCAGAGAAGGGAGTGATATAAACAGTCAAAACATCGTCAAAAAGAAGCTCAAAGAAAGAAGGGGCTGTCCAAAGTTATAGGCTAAGCGAGCTGAAAGATTGTACATTCTATCGCGGCCCGACTGCCTCAACCTACCCTACCGACGAGAACGCTATGGAATCGGATTGTTAAGTGCAGGATCAGGATGGCTTCAGTTAGGTTGGATATGTTAGGAAGGTGCTTGGAGGATACAGTAAGCGCTAGGCGCTTCGGGTTAGGTTGTAGGGAGAAGGATCAAGATTGGTTGTGGGATGTTATTATATTTGTTTAATATTTCCTTATGTGTGGTGACGAGGATTAGTTACTGGATTATTCTTTAAGGTTATATTCGAAGCTTTGTCCTCACTATTTGTACTTCTCTTTCTTTCTTATGTACGCAACGTCTTTATTCTGTTTGCTAGTAAATCCTATTCTGTTTCGATCGGTATTCAGCCCGGTCCTCTGTCCTCGTCCGAAAAAGTATCCGAGTCGATCCTTGCCTCACTACCTACCCACATCTTTGTCCTAGAACCCTTCTCCGTTAGAAATTCAGAAGCAAAGAACAGACACCATTATCATCAGATGAAGAAAAAGCCCAATGAAAAGAATAAATCGAAAATGACAGCCAAAACGAAGATACATCAGTAGACGAATCTGATGAAAGCCACTCTAAATCGAGTGAAAATTCAGAAGAAACATCATGAATCTAACTACAAGAAGAACACGTAGAGAACTTAAGCCTTCTATTTTTAGACGCAATCACAAGATCTACTTTTGCTGATAGTAAGGAAGATAATACCGAGATTGAAAGTAATCAAAATAAACCGAGGATGAAGGCAGTACTAGCAATGTACTTCTATGGAAGACAACTCGAGAGTCTTGACAACTTCATAACGTCCGTCAAGTCTAACTTTGGCTCTAAAGTGTCGGCGTATGAAAGTAAGAAGGCTAAAGAAGAGGTAATTTTGATGAATCTTAAAATCCATATGAAAGGAAAAACTGCGGTGTAAATGTCCAGGCAATCTGCAGGTATTGGAGTAATGTGGAATGCTCTAACAGAGGTGTGGGGAGCCCATTATAACAGCCCTTCGAGAAATAAACAACATACGATCGATGCCCAAAGAGTGTTGGCGACTCTCAAGCAGGGAAGGATGACGATGAGGAAATATAACAACAGTGCAACTCAGATCAAGACAGATATTCCATCAGTCTGGGATTCTATGTTAGCTAGCAGTTTTGTAATAAGCATTACAGACGTGTCATTGAGATTGCATTTGATATCAATAGGGAGCCTTATCAATGAGTTCACATATGTTGAAGACTTGGAGGTAGCAACACTAATTGCAAGAGGTAGTGAAGCCAATATTGACAGAGATGACTCGGATTTGGAGAGTGAGAAGAAAGCCTATGATGAAGATAAAGAAGAGTTAGATTATGATAGATTTGGAAGGAAGAATGACAAGAAGAAGAGAGAGGCAGAGAGAGAGAAAGGAAGGTAGAGAGGTTTATGATAAGGACGCATTGGCAAACATTGTCGAGGAAATTATCAGACAAAGCAAAATCAAAGAAGAAAAAGAAAAGAAACAAACGGAACAGACGGAAATGAACTAACCTTTTACGCTACAATATGTGTTCAATCCTAACTTTCTTGAAGTGAAAGTGGCAATGAGGAAGCCAATGAGAGCTCAGGGGGATTATTATTGAGGACAGATATCAACAGCAAATCAATACAACCAAAATCAAGGAATGATTGAAGCTCCACCGCAACGAGTATTCAACCAACAAGCAATACCTCTCCAGTAAGCATTCAACCAACAGATATAGGCATGTCTCAATCAACAGTACCCCACAGTCAATCATGGCCAGATGATGAGGGCAAGTAATGATGTAGGGTATAATCATCAAGGGTATGATGGAAATCTATATGCATATAGAAGGGGGGAATGCATAGGTAGGGGTAGTAGCCTCACCCGAGTGATTCTGACATGCTTCCGGTGTGGGGAAAAAGTGAATTACCGTATTGAATGCATAAATCCAAATCAACTATCCAGAGAAGATTCATTTAGAGTTAGGCAACAGGTAGATGCAGAAAGGGCTGAGGCAGGATATCCACCGTATCGCCAACAGCGGCAAGGAGGAGGTTCTGGATATTGGTCGTAAAACCAACATGATATGAATCAACCTGAGATAACCACCAATGGGTGCAGAACGTGAATTCAGGCCCGAGCGCAATACCGGGTGTTAAGCAGGTACCAGGTCGAGATGTGAGAAATGAGGTGAAGAGAAGAGAAATCTTGATGGTAGAGATAAAGTTGACAGAGTATGATAAAGGAGAGAAAATGTTGGCATCGGAATCCAACACTGTAGAATGGTAGGATGTCGCGGCAGCAGAGAAAAAAACAAGAGCGAGCAGTGATACTGATTCGGGTGAGCCTCTCAGGATTGGACAGAAGGCGATCAATTTGGCAGAGGCAAGTCAAAACTTCCGAATACTCCAAGATTCCGATAACAAGATGGAAATGGGAGAAAGGTCTAGATCCCCTGGTAGTGCAAATAAGGGAAAGCAAAGAGACCCTCTGTGAAACCTAAAGAATCCGTATCAAGGCAGTCTATCAGATTAATACAAGATATTCCATTTAATAATATCATGGTAAGGCTTCGCGACACGCTGGTAACATAAGTCCGATTGGGATGGTTGTGCAACTAGGTACCCAGTATTCATTGAGATTTAGGGAGAGGTTTAATTCTGGAAAGGCAGACTAAACCCAGAACAATGGCCAACATAAATATCAAGGGAGCTAAGAAATCGATACTACTCCAACAAGCGTCGCAGAATTCAAGCTCAACTGCCAATCGTCAGCTGTCGATAATGATCGAGGATATGTTAGCAGTGATAAAGGGACGGAAGGTACTACCACAGGTGGGCTTTATTGACAATTTTTATACACCCAGGAAAGTTACCAAAAAATAAATCCTTTACATAATCAATAAAATTCTGATTGACGGTGTGTAACGGAGCCATTTCAACTGTCTGTTGTATGAGTACACACAGGGCCCGGTTACATGCTGAGAGTTATTGTTAGAAGCCAGTTGCACGGTGATATGCAAGTACCGGCAGTGTGGTTAGCTACCAGCTGTCAGAGTAACTACATTCCGGGCGCTAGGAAGAGGATCTATTCATGGGAGCAATGACTGACGAGTCTATGCCTCGCCAGTGACTAGAAGACCGGCCAGAGTGAAGCTCTGATTGCCCGGTGATCCTCTAGATCCTCTGAGCATTGTAAGTCCGCCGAAGGGCAGGGACTATGCTAGGGAAGTCTACAATAAGCGAAAGCTCTACAGCAATGATTAAGCTTACACCTGAGCGGCAGCTCATTCATGCAGGTCCTCGGTTGTGTGGCAACCAAGGCTGCAGGTGTTACAAAGGCTTTGACTAAGGGTGGTTGCCTTGGGTATCGGAAACACCTGCTGACGCTTAGAGGAAAGCGGCGTAGTGGTGGTATTGTTTCCGGTACTGAGGGAAGGCCCACCGGAACTTAGTAAGGAGTTAGGAGCAGAGAATAGAAGCCTTCGGAGTATAAGTACTCAGGTTCATTCTCGCCCTTCAGTCCTGTTCTCTCCAGTCTTCATCAGAAGAAAAAACCAAGTTCTTATCGGTAGCAGAGCCCTTAAAGATTATTGAGTTCTAGCGATAGTATCTTTGAATAATCTGCAACCTGATTGTCTATCTTGCACGGCCGTCTCTATTCTATACAAATCTATTTCTCTTAGAAAGGACCCCCGTTACACGGTGAGTCAGTTGTGAATTTGAGACTCGAGAATATCAGCAAGAAGATGGGACTACAATATGTGGCCACGAATAGTCTGGTTATAAAGATGGCAGATGCGGGAATCACCTTGATTTTCATGTATCGATTAGTTAATACACTGGGTTACGAGAAGTTGGATTAGTCAGAAAGGTTCTATTGGGTTCTGTCGGGTTCTGTGGGTCGTAAGTGTGGGAGTCACTTTGGATTTGTCATCGCTAAGATTTCCTTGGGTATATTAGGAGGTTTTGCTCTCGTTTCTGTTTTCTTTCTCTTCTTTCTTTTGTTACGCAACGTATTCTGTACCTACGCTGTTGATTACTATATAATATTATTTCCTTTTCTTTACTCAAGAGGACCACAGTGTCGCCGCTTCCCTTGCACAGTTGACCCTTACAAATGCTAGAGTCCTTAGGACTCTTATTGTAGGCTCTCATAACGACCTCCATTACCTCCTTCGTACCATGCGGAATACTCGCTACTCGTCCCCTTGAGATCCATCTACAAATACGTCGATATTCAATTCTAAGTGGCTGATGTAGTACCAGCGATCAGATGTTTCATAATCCCGGGTAATAGGAGCCCTTCTTACTTGATTTTGCTGAGGAGAACATAGTTTGAGCAATGTAAGGCCAAAACGAATTATTAGAATTAGACATACACTATCTGCGATACTGAAGAACGAAGAGTCAAACTTCAAAGAGTAGAAGAGATTGGCAGACCTGAGATCCCAGTAGTCTTGAAAAGTGCCGAAACATGCCACGTTCAAGATTATCTTTACAGTGAAACCATTGATAACCGACAGAATGAAGAGGAAGAGTGAATCAACGATATTCTGTGAATGGTCATATGAGAAGCAGGAGAAGAAGAATATAGAGAGGAAGAAGAAACGGAATCCGAAGAGAAAGAAGAGAGTTCGGGAAATGGCAATCGGTGTTAAATACTTAGACATTTAACAATGTGCAAGTATATAACTCGGGGGGTGAGGATATAAAGGAGAAAGGTGGGAGCAAAGGCGACAGCGAGGAGAAAGCGAAGCAAAGAAAGGTAAGTAAATTGAGAATGGGTATTAGTCTATCAAGTGATATGTCTACACCTGAAATTGAACATCCCCTAAAGGAAAGAGAGAACCAAAAAGATACTCATTGCGGGAACATTATAGAGTACTACATCCATATTTTTAAAACCAAGGGAGAGATGAAAAGAGAGAGAGGGTGTCTGTGAGAGAAGTACCAATAGTGCATCTTAAGAAAAGCAGACAGAATAGTCATATGACCATGAGTGAACTAGGATATAAGAACAGAATACTCGAAGGAATTTGAGAGAGGTGTAAGGAAGATGAGGGAGGTAGAAGTGGAGAAGTCAATAAATAGAGATGGGGAGTATTATCAGATGTTTAACAGTGAAGATGGGATATTTGGGATCAATGCGATTGAATATCTTATCTTTGGGAGACTAAAGGACTTCAAAAGAACCATCGACAATGGAACATCAGAAGGAAAAATTGACGAATGATTTGAGCAGTGTGAAATTACGGTAGGTGTCTTAGCTGCAACGTAAGATCAGAAAGTCGTAGCCATAAGATTACTGTACATTTGGAGAGATATCTCCGGAAATAACAGCACGAATGCGTCAATGTTTCTGCTGATTAAGGATCATATTCTGATGAAACTGGGAGCGATACTTCACAAAGCTTCGAACTATCTATTCTCAAGGGGACGAGTAGCAAGTATTCCGCAGGGTACGAAGAGTGTAATAGGGGACGGCATGGGAGCTCCGCAATAGGGGTATTACGGGGCTCTAGCGTCGGTAAGGTTCGAAGGGACGAGGAGAAAGCGAGGCGGTGGTCTTCTTAAGGAAAGAAAAGAACGATAATGTTATATAGCAATAGACAGCGTAGATACAGAAGACGTTGCGTAAAGAAAGAAGAGAAGAAGAAGAACGCGAAATACAAACAAAAACCCCCTTAATATACTCAAGGAAATCCCAGCGATGACAAATCCAACATGACTCATACATTAACGATCAACAGAACCCGGTAGAACTCAATAGAACCTTTCTGACTAATCCGACTCTTCATAACCCCGTACCTCCACTAATCGATCCATGAAGGTAGCCCCTCCCTTCAAGCGCGAGCTCCTGCGAGCCTTAACTTTAATCTTTCCTTCCAATGGTCCAGGTTTGTCGGGGTAGCGTATGTGGAAGATATCAACGGCGGCGGTATTATCGTGGTATGCGGCGGGTTCCCAGATAGGGTCGGTATAGCCTGTCCACTTAACAAAGTATTGCAGGCCAGTGTTCCGTAATTCTCGCGAGTCCAAGATTTCCTCAACTGCATACTCCTCCTCTTGTTCGACGATAATGGGCGGGGGTGGTGGTTGAATTTGCTCCGGGACAGGATCATTCGCAGCGGGGTCCAGCAATGATACATGGAAGACGGGGTGCATCTTCATACTTTTAGGCAGGTCGACTCGATACGCATATGGCGATATAATTTCCTTAACGGGGAACGGTCCCAGTTTCTTCCAGTCCAGCTTCCGGGAGTTACGCGTGGTTCGGATGTTTTTTGCTGAAACAAACACCATATCACCGACATCGTACCGTGGAGCCGGCGTTCGTTTAGTATTGACGGCCTGCTCTTGTTGATCCTGCGCTGTGCGGATATTGGAACGTAGGTGCTCATGGAGTTCTCTCATCTTCGAGGCGAAATCCTTAGCATTGATGCTTGTTGGGGTCATGTCAAGCGGTTTAATCGTTACTGTAAACCGGGGGTGGAAGCCATAGTTCGTGAAGAATGCTGTGGCTTTAGTGGATGTGGAGACCTGATTGTTGGCGGAGAATTCTGCCATAGGAAGCCATTTTACCCAATCGTCCTGTTGATAAGAGACATACCCACGTAGATATTGCTCCATTACAGCATTCAGCCTTTCGGTTTGGCCGTCGGTCTCCGGGTGGAAGGCGGTGGACATCCTTGCTTCGATGTTGAGGTGTTTAAAAAGAGTCTTCCAAAACTTAGCTGTAAATTGCGTACCGCGGTCGGAGGTGACGTGTGTGGGTAGCCCGTGGAGCTTCCATATGTTTCGCAGGTATAGTCGGGCGACGTCTTCGGAGTTGACAGTAGTATTGCAGGGCAGGAGATGTCGCATCTTTGTTAGCCAGTCAACCACTATCATAATTGCATCGTACCCTTCACTCTCCTGTAGGCCCGTAACGAAGTCCATCGATACCTCCTGCCATGGTTGTTCGGGAATCGGTAAAGGTCGAAGTATGCCGAGTTTTCCATGGGTATTGGGTTTGCTTCGTTGATAGGTATGGCAGTTCCGAACATAGCGGGCAATATAATTTCACATAAGGGGCCAGTAGTAGTCCCGACTGACGAGTTCGAATGTTTTTTCGTGTCCCGGGTGTCCAGCAGAGGCGGCGTCATGGTAAAGTTGAAGGATTCGGAGCTTAAGAGGATCGTAATTAGGGACATATATGCTGTCTCGGTAAAGCAATCGGCCTTCAACCTCGGTGCATTCGGCGAGTGATATGTCCTTTGATTGTCGTTCGCCTTTATTCCGCATATCCAGTATCTTTTGGGGAAACGGGTCAGCGCTATATCCTTCATCGAATAATTCCTGCAGTGAGGCGTTCTTTTCAGCGGGCTCATTTGAGAAAGAGCCCGCCAACAAACTTAGCTTTGCATCGAGATTCTCCTTCTTCAACACAACTTGACTCTGATGCAATTGTCTTTCATCCCCCTCTCCAGGGAGATCTCCTGATCTTCTTGTCAACGCGTCCGGTTTCCCTCCTTGTTTCCCTCGTCGGTATTTGATAACAAAATTAAACTGTGACAGGTATTTTGCCCACCGTGCTTGTCTCCGGTTGAGTTGTTTGGTACTCATAAAGTATTCGAGATTCTTATGATCGGATATCACGGCGATTGGGTATGCAGCCCCTTCAAGTTCCGGTCGCCACTCCTCAAAAGACCGAATGATTGCCAGTAATTCCTTGTCGTAAATCTCGTAGTTGCATTCGGCGGGGGAGTGCTTTTTCTAGAAGTATGCAACAGGTCGGAGGATACCATTGTCATCGTATTGGGAGAGTACACTGGCGGAGATATAGTCAGATGCGTCGGTTTCCACAGTACTTTCCTTCTCCGGGTCGAAATGAGTAAGAATGGGCGCCGTGGTAAAGGCTTCTTTCAGGGCGTTGAAGGCGGTTTGGGCTTCGGATGTCCATCCAAATGATATGTCCTTATGTGTCAGTCTGGTAAGGGAAGAAGCCAGTTCCGAGAATCAGCGTATGAATCGGCGGTAAAAGTTAGCAAAACCTAGGAATGCTTGTACATCCTTAACTGTTTTGGGGACGGTCCAATTCTTCACCGTCTCCACTTTCCTTGGGTCCATTTTAATACCATTGGGTTCGATAATAAGGCCGAGATAGGTGGTACTTTGTGTATGAAATTCGCATTTCTCCGGTTTCAGCAGTACTCCATTTCTTTGTAGGGCTTCCAGGACCTTTTCGACGTGTACTTGATGTTCTTCGAAGGTGTCGCTGTAAATAAGGATATCGTCAAGGTAGGCTGTACAGAACATATCAAGGTAATCACGGACGCAATCATTAATGAAATGTTGAAAGGTGGCTGGTGCATTGGTAAGGCCGAAGGGCATTACGGTGTATTCGAAATGTCCGTAACGCGTTCGGAAGGCTGTTTTCCATTCTTCACCCTCAGCCATTCGGATCTGGTTGTACCCTTAGCGAAGGTCAAGTTTGGTGTACCACTTGGCTTTGGAAAGGCGGTCGAGAGTTTCCCGGATGAGTGGCAGCGGGTAGCGGTTCTTGATAGTAAGTTCGTTGAGGCCACGATAGTCGACACAGAGGCGGAGTGTTCCATCGGCCTTTTTAACAAATAGGACAGGGGCACCGGCAGGTGAAGAGCTGGCCTGAATGAACCCCTTTTGAAGGTTGTCCTGTATGTATTGTTTCAGCACAATGAGTTCCTCGCGGGACATACCATAAAGTGACCCAAAAGGGGGCTCTTTCCCTTCGTTGAGCGGTATCTTATGATCATAAGGGCGGCGAGGCGGCATCTCGTTAGCGAATTCTTCGTCCATCATTTTATAAAATCTCTTATACCGGGTTGGGACCCGGTTCCTCCAGTCTTATTTAGGGGCCTCGCCCGTTGCTTGATCTATTTCCTCAATAGTTGTACTAAAGATTTGGAGTTTGTCTCTTCGAGCAAAGCGACAAAGAGCAGCTGAACTGACGAGGTGGAAACGGGGCGGTGGTGCAACCCCTCTAATGGGAACGGGTATCGGGGAAGAGTTGGACTTGCGTTTGCAATATTCGGAGTCGAACAGTATGCTATTGTCCTTAAACCGTAATGTTGCGTCGTGCAATTGAAACCAGGGGATTCCGAGGACGAGTGGGTACGAGCCGAGTTTGGTAACGAAGAAGGGGGTAGTTTCATGGTGGGAGTCAATTGATAGCGGCAGATAGCAGAGGTGGGTAATTTGTCCGGAAGATATGGGCCGACCGTCGATGACTTCAAGAGTGCGGGGTGATTTGAGGGGGAGAAATGTGAAGTTGTTATGGCGCGCGAATGCCTCATCAATGAATGCAAATCCGGAGCAACCGGTATCGATCAATGCGTGAGTTTGAATGGATGTTTTATTGTTTATAATTTTACAAGAAGCAACAAAATGATCCCCATCCAATTTATCCTCCACAGACGATACCGAGAAGCCAGAGATAGAAAACGCAGACAAAGGAGAAACATTGGAAGGTCCCAGACAGGGGCCATTAATCAAGCCCGGGACTACTGAAAACCCGACTCAGAGGAGGTGGGACTAGCGATCAGTGGAGCAGCGGGGTCGACGGCCGTATGGCTGGGTGCGAGGAGGGCGCCTCTCATAACCGGTTGGTTACCGTGCGGGCGATTGGCAGAGGGGCAGTTGGCAAAGACATGACCAGGGTTGGCGCAGTACATACAGAGATTGTTGTCCCTTCGCCATTTTTTTCAGCGGCAGAGGTTTTGCGTTGTCCATTGACAAAAGTGTATCGTTGTTCGATGGCAGGACGTTGAGTGGGGCGGCTTTGGAGAGCGGAGAGGTCCATTGCGGCGAGGCCTCTGGTGGTATGAGATGGGTGTGCGACAGCAGCGGGGGCGGTGAATTGTCCCATTGTATTCCGAATGGCCCGTTGTTCAGCTTTGCGGCCCCGAACCTGGTTATCGATTGTCATCAACATGGTGGCATAGGCTTCGACGGTGTTAGGCCTGTCTGTCCGGTATGTCATAGCGTCCTTCAGGTCTCCCGACAGTCCTTCGGCCAGGGCATCGATCTTGGCTCCCTCGTTGTAGTCCAGGTATGCCACGATGCGGAGGAACTGCGAATAATAGGTAGCGAAGTCCCCTTTGCCTTGCTTCAGGGCAACGAGTTGGCGACGGGCGGTACCCCGGGGGTCTGGGTCTCCAAACGAGGCTTCCAGATGGGCGATGAAGGCAGTGACGGAGGAGAAGGGGACGGCAGAGTTAGCGTTAACGAGCGGGACGACCTGGTCAACGGCCCTTCCTTCCAGGCAGCTGACGGCATAGATAACCTTTGCTGCCTCGTTCCGGAACCGATCGTGGTTAACTTCAAGTTTCATTCGAAGTTGGGTAGTGAATCCGGGGAGCTTGGTGCGGGTGCAATCGAATTTTTCAGGGTCTGGAAACTTTTCGGACCTGAAGGCGGGGACAGGAGCAGGTGGAGGAGCAGCGGCAACGGGGACAGTGACGGTAGGGGCGGGGGCAGCACGGGCGATATTGAGGTCGAGGTTGAGCCGGTTTATCTGCTCCTCGAGGTTGTCAATGGTTTCGTTGGCGGCGGTGAGTAGTGTATGAAGGGTGTCCCTTTGGAGGCGGACGCGTTGGACGAGGGTGGCGATGTTGTTGAATAATTCAGTAGAGTCGGCCTCATACATCTGCCTGAATCCTTCTACATCGTTGGGTGCCGCCCATACAGGTGGATCGGGGGTGGACATATCGTACGGTGCGGATGACGACGCAACGTAATCTCAAGGGGACGAGTAGCGAGTATTCCGCAGGGTACGAAGAGTGTAATAGGGGACGGTATGGGAGCTCCGCAATAGGGGTATTACGGGGCTCTAGCGTCGGTAAGGTTCGAAGGGACGAGGAGAAAGCGAGGCGGTGGTCTTCTTAAGGAAAGAAGAGAATGATAATGTTATATAGCAATAGACAGCGTAGATACAGAAGACGTTGCGTAAAGAAAGAAGAGAAGAAGAAGAACGCGAAATACAAACAAAACCCCCCTTAATATACTCAAGGAAATCCCAGCGATGACAAATCCAACATGACTAATACATTAACGATCAACAGAACCCGGTAGAACTCAATAGAACCTTTCTGACTAATCCGTCTCTTCATAACCCCGTACCTCCACTAATCGATCCATGAAATCTATTTACACAGGAAGAAATGGAATAATGCGTCTAAACTTGCCGAAAATGGCCGGGAATGGCATTATCACATTTGCTGATTCACCATAGTCGAGCAAGCTCGAGTATTTCAGAAAAAGTAAGAGTTTGGGAGAAGCAGAACTATGACTGGTACATATACTTTGTCTGTTAAATAAGGTAATAATCAAGTCAAACTATCCCATGAAACGGATCGAACTGATTTTTATGGATCGATTAGTTAAAATACTGGGTTATGAGGAGTTGGATTACTCAGAAAGATTCTATTGAGTTCTATCGGGTTCTGTCATTCGCAAATGTATGAGTCACTTTGGATTTATCATCGCTGAGATTTCCTTGCGTATATTAGGAGGTTTCATCCTCGGTTTTGTTCTCTTTCTCTTTTTTCTTTTGATACTCAACATCTTCTGTACCTACACTGCCTATTGCTATATAATAACATTTCCTCTACTTTACTCAGAAAGACCACCGTGCTGCTGCTTCCCTTATTCCGCTGACCTTACCAATGCTAGAGTCCCTCAAGACCCCTATCACAGACTCCATTACCCACTTCTATTACTTTCTTCATACAGTGCGGAATACTTGCTACTCGACCCCTTGAGACTGATAATCAACAATTTATTGCAATCGAAGTTCAAAATGTATTGGAATGCTAATGCAAAAGCTTGATATCATGGAATCGTGCTGAAAGAGAAGTGTGAATCCAAAACAGCATTTAATACCCCATTCGGTCAATATTGGTACTTGAGAATAGCGATGGGATTGTCAGGAGCAGCTCACACATATGCACGAATGAAGAATATTATGGCCGGACCAATACCAAAACCGAGAGCTGAAGAAGCGATAACAGGGGTGACAGAAGATAAAACTTATGAGTTCTTTCAAGATGACAACTATGGCGCAAGCACAACGTTCGAGGTACAAGCGACATACTTGTATGAAAAATACTTTCCGAGAATCGCATGGGCAGGACTGCAACTAAAGGAATGGAAGTCGTATTTCTGGACAAAGCCATTAGCATTGTTAGTGTATGCAGGTAGAAGCAAAGAGGCTAAAAAATGGGGATTAAGACCGTGTATAGACAAGCGGGAAGCATTTTGAGAGATCCAGATACCTGAAATAGTTAAGAATATCGAAGAATTTCTCCATATAATGGTATATTTGGGGAGCTATATCCCAGAAAGAGTGGAACACGTGAAGATCAGCAAAGAATCTATAACGATAGTCTGAAATGGGTCAAGATAAGAGTCAACTGTAAACTGAGGAGCAGAGTAGGAGCATTCGTTTAGATATATGAAGCAAAATGTGGAAGAGAATGCAATTTGGGGAGGGGATGCGAGTCTACAATACCATATTGTAGCGGATACCTCCAACAAAACATTAGGAGATTTGGTGTTTCAAATGATCGACATGCAACCCGGAACAATCGTACGATCCAAATATTGAGACAAGAAACGTATCATAAGGTTTATTTCGAAATCTTTTGCATCTGCTGAATCACGATATCACACAACTGAGAGAGAGGCTCTAGCGGTAGTGAGGATCCTGGAAGAAGTAAGATGGCTAGTACTAGGGTCCCGATACCCAATCAAGATATACACAGATCATCAAGCTGTATTATTGATACTCAAGGGTGATGAAGTAAGAGGAAACCTCGTTCGATAGCAGTTGCAATTGGCTGAATATGATATAGAATATCATTATATTCTGGGGAGCCAGAACATTCTAGGTGATGAATTGTGAGGCATGACTACAAGGACGAGAGTGACGGAGATGATGAGTGTAGAGAGAGAGGGTTGGGAGAATTGGTTAGCAGACGAATAGTAGGGGGAGTTGGTGGAGCACAAATTGATAGGGGAGGTTCCTAAAGGAAAGATAGAAGAAAGGCACAAGAGATTGTTGGAAGAGACGGAGGTAGAAAAGTGGCAAAGAATGCTGAAACAACAGTCAGTAAGCTTTGTTTTGATTGATGCAGATGAAAAAGGGCTTCTATATAAAGAACGAAAAGGTGAGTATTCAATGTATGTGAGAAGAAGAGAAGTACGTGCGGTGTTAACGTAGGCACATGATCTACACAGATATTTCACAGAAGGAATCACAACAAAAAAGCTGATCGTCAAGTACTATTAGCCGAAGAGGGTGAGGAATGTCGTATATTACTACCGATCATGTACAGAATATCAGAAGTAGGGCCCACTAAAACTGTCACAATCGTTAACCACAGTAATGTAACTACAACCGTTAGACATTATGGGAATTGATTTCAGTAGCTCCGTGAATTCTTTGTCGATCACCAAAGCCAAATATATCTTAGTTGTTGTCGACTATTTTACAAGGTATCTATTTGCAACAGAAGCACCTGCTGTTACGAGTGAAGTCATCATAAAGTTCCTCACAAAAGATTCTGAGCTTCTAAGGTAGCAACGAGCGAATACAATGATAAGAGATCGCACTTTATCAACAAGGAAGTCCAAAGGTTTCTCGCGTCTAAGGGTGTTAAACAATTCCTGGCCCCTAAATAATATCTATCAGCTGTGGGATTGTCAGAAAGATATTTACAAATGGTGGTCATGGGATTCCGAGCACTCCTACAGAAAACTCCAGCTGCAATATCTCAATATCATACCCTCTTACTGCATATTGTACACACCAACAACAATCGAGTCATTAGAAGTAATGAATAGACTTCAAGCCTACTGTTGTTTGATTTCAATACCCAACGGAGTCATATGGATGCGTCAGCTAGAGATAGGATCGTCAGTTCATTGATCAGTACAGAAGGAGGGGTAGAGAAATAGTTGCAGGTAGGTTGTTGGACTTGAAGGCAACCTGGAGATAGGGGATGAAGTTGAGGCATGAGCATGTCATTATAGAATTTCGAACATGGAAGAAATACGAGAGATAGTCAGGTTTCGCATGATAGAAAAAGTACCTCCAACCAAACATAAATGACTGATCAACTCTCCAAAAGGAGCTGATTTGGTACTACTCAGAAAATACAAAATCGATAAAGTGCACGGAAAGAAGTTAGAACCAAGGTGGGAGGGACTGTATGACCTCTGAGACCTAGCTCTCAAGGGGGCGAGTAGCGAGTATTCCGCACGGTACGAAGGGTGTAGTAGCGGTCGGTGTGGGAACTCGCAATAGGGGTCCTAAGGGATTCTGGCATCGATGAGAGTCAACGGGACAAGGGGTAGCGAGGCGGTGATCTTCTTGAGTAAAGAATAGGAAGATAATATTGTATAGTAATAGACAGCGTAGATACAGAAGACGTTGCATAGTAAAAGAAAGAAAAGGAAAAGAACAAGAAACGAGAACCAAACCTCCTTAATATATCCAAGGAAATCCTAGCGATGACAAATCCAAAGTGACTCCCACACTTACGACCCACAGAACCCGACAGAACCAAATAGAATCCTTCTGACTAATCCAACTCCTCATAACCCAGTGTATTCACTAGTCGATCTATGAAACTAGCATAGGACAGCATATTAGAACGACTATCCGATCTCAAAACACAACAACGGGTTCGAGTTCAGGTGGAAGGCCTGCAAGAAAGATGTCATTTAGATAACCTGAAAATCTTTATACCAAGGGAAGAAAAATGGACCTCGTATGATGATGATCTGAAAGAGCTGGATGATTGAAGGATTATAAAAGAAAGAAACAAATAAAGGAAAAAAAAGAAAGATTACAAAAAGATCAATACGGGGGAGTATGGCCAATATGATCTTGAGGTTTTAAGCGGCGCTATAGTTTAGATGAGTTATTGAAGTGATACGTTGCTTTGAGGAGGTTTATATTGTTTCCTTTACACGTGTCGTTGGATTGTCATTATTTTGCATTACTTTTGGTGGATTGTCATTATCTCGAATCCCTTTTGGGAATTGTCAGTATTTCGGGTTGGTCTCAAGGGGAGGCTATGATATTTATTTGTTTGCAACAGGCGGAGATGAAAGGGTTCAGATGATGATATAGTAGGGTGAAGACAAGTAAATTGTTTGATAATGGCTATTGGTTGAGTTATTCGTTATTATGAGAAGTGGGAAGTGATGAGGGATGAGAGGCTATAATGGAGGATGCTAAAGGATTATCATGTTACTCAAAAGTGGAAAGAGAAAAGAGAGAGAGGGGGGGATTTCCTGTGGGTTATGTCAGCGAGTATGGGTCAGATTGAGTGGTCACGTAAGCTAGTGGGCAAGAACATAAGCGAGAGGACAAGGTGTCACATTCTAAAGTATCATGTAGCAAGTTATCGGTCACTCTACTTCTACACATAGACAATACACCCTATGCTATCGATTGGTTGATTCTGATTCATCGACCTATTGACTTTCCTTCCTAGTATGAACGAGAGACAGCCACAGTATTGCGAGTTGTCAAAATTAACCAGACGCTCTGCTACAACCACCCAAACCAGAACAACTAACCTTTTAAATACCTGCGATTGAGCCATATTAAAACCTGAAATAATGCAAGCATAGAGAATCATAGACATAAAATCTTTTGACTTTTCCAGCTATGATTGTATTGCAAGGCGATGTTGAAGTTGCATTCCCATATTAAATTTAGTTGTAACGCGGTACCGCAGTGTCCGGTCAATTTTAGCAACCCGCAATACTATTGCCACCTATTTTTAGTATATATAGTTCTAGTATTTTACTATCATGTCTAATAATTAAGAAAATACTTACAGTATTCCATATATAAAAAACTACAAGGCAGATATAGTCTAGGGTGAGTGATAGATCATGATGCAGGTTTGATTGATTGATTAAATACGTCCATCCTTGTCATACAGGCTTTTTATTCATATGATCATGGCATCCTCAAAGGATAATTGGGTTGTACGGTCTTGAGCCGTGTGATCTATCGCGCGTAGAAATGACGGAATGATACCATTTGTCTGAGTGCAGAACCTACAGTCATATCCGTAAAGTCCGTCAATCTATCCACATCTCGACCTGCTGGTCAAATCATGAACTCCTTAACTAGCACAAACTTCCCTCGTCGGCTCACGAATGTTTTTTGTCTACTCAAGAATTTCTTGGTCAATCCACTACCAGCTCACACCCCTGCCCTAATGTTGAACTATTTACCGCCTTATTGGTCCACTGACGAAATCTGTGAGCTAGCCGTGTGATCCTTCAAGTTTGGAACAACTATTCAAACCAACCTAAGTAACAAGCAAACAGACTCTGCGGTTACCTATCCCTTAAGCTGTCAATTGCTGAACCCTTTATGGGGCCCAAAAGCCACAGTAAATCTCGGTGAGCGAGTGGTGAGAGATTGATTCAGATCTAATGATTGATAATAAAATCAAGGAATTCGTTAGCAAAGCCACACTTTTTGGCCTCCTCTAAAAGGGTCGGCATTTTAGTGACAGCTTAAGGGATACGTACCTCCTTATTCGCCCCTGACAGATCTACATTTTATGAATACGTGTACGTACTCGAGACGTACATGTAGGTATGTGCTTGCGCTCGTGAAAGGGAGAAAAACAGAAAGAAGGCAAGCACAGAGGACACTGGTGTTTATACGGCAGAAAGACGCCACTCCATATAAATCATTCTTGCCATAAGCATCTATTTCCCATATCCATACACGATCGATCGCGACGCCTCTTAATTACATGTACATGTAGTGACCAGAAATCAAATGAACGATGTACTATAGAGATACTATATAAAAGAAGCACTGAGAACATCTGGCTAGCTCGGAAAGCTTTTACATCAAATTAGAATAGTATCGCCTATTACATATTTGTGGCTACATGTAATTTGCCATCTTCATTCCATCTGACGACGTCGAGCGCCAAGCGTGGTAGTGGGAGGGATATTTGCCGGTATTCCCTAAAATGGCTAGCCTCATACCTGAAGCGGCCAGAGATGCGACTACCCACCCATACCTTCGGTACTTTTCTAGCTGTTTCCCTCCCTGATTACTCTAATTCCACTAAAAAAAAAATGCTTACGTACCCAGCCGAACACTTAAGGACCTCCTTTTTCCTTCTCATCATCCCTTCTCATCCTCTCTTCTTCCCATTGTCAGTACTTGATCCCCACCAATTTATATAAAGAGTTAGGATCTTTAGCCTAGAGATTTTGCAAGGCACCCCTTAGTCCCGGAATTCATTTCTAGCAGCCTACCTGACTCGGGAAGAACTCTATCAGGACAACATCCTAAAACGATTACGTACCTACAAGCCTGTGGGCTCTCAAACACCTTGAAATAATTATATAACCCACTTATCTCAAGTACGTACACACTAGATATATCTGGCCCTACATACAATGGTTGTGCTCCGAAATCGTTCTTTGTCTACTACAGCCACAAGATCATCCACCCCACCCGCCCGAGCCCCAGGTCGCAAAAGTACCCGTGTCAACATTTCTAAACAGGATGGAAGTGATGATGAAATCCTTGAGTGTATTGTTGTACGGTTAGTCAATTAATCATCTATCCTCCTACAATATCAGTTTTAGTCAGACTTACCCCCCTTCTTTAACACTCTTCGATTACACCCGAATCACTAGCATCAATAACCGCTCCATAAGCTTTCAATGGTTTATAGTATACACTAATAAACTAGTGAAATTGTCATAGCTCTTCGCTTCCTTCCCAGCTTATAACATCAAAATCCGAGAGATTGAATCGCGTTGGAGTTCATAAGTCTGTAAAGTCAACTTCAAGTTTCAAGTCTGCGTCCTTGAACACTCCAGTTTCGAGGTCCTCCTCTCCATCTGTTCGAGAGACCCACACAGATTCCGACGTCGAAGAATCTCTCATGGCCCTTCACGGTAGCTCAAGGAAAAAGGCAGTCAAAAGAAAATATATAACACAGTCAACACCAGATCATAACCTTTCAGGACCTGAAACGCCACAGAGTATAGCTCAGGCACTCCCTGAGAGCCCTCCATCTTCTATATTTGATAGCTCGTCTGAGCAATTATCTGCACCTATTCTCAAGCCTTGCAAGGCCCCTTGGAATGTTCCAGCTTTTTCAGAGAGTTACAAGAGCCTTGCCTCACCTTTATCTCTTGAGCATCGGCAAGTTCTTAACAACAATCACGTAGTAGATGAGGTTTCGTATATACCGACCAGTCGAAGGCATTTCACTCGGAAGCTCTCAGCGCCTATGATTAGTCTGAGTAATAGCGCAAGGCCTGTCTCATCAAACGCCAACCAGCAGTCGCGTAAATGTATGGGCCGAGTTCAACAACACTCTGATCGTGTTGTAGTCCCAAAAGATAAATCACCAACTCAGGATGCCTTTCGTAAGGACTCTATCAGTAGTGGAATGAATACCTCGATCATCGTAACGGATTTAGTGCAGGGTTCCAATGCAACTGAGTTGCTTCCAGCACCTAGCCGTAGGCCCCTTTCTAATACGGGTGGAATTACCGCTCCTAGTAGCACAAGGTTCTTAAGAGAGCGAAGGAATGTGACCCATCGATCTCTTGAGGTTTCTGCAAAAAAGGCTCGAAGATCCAAGAAAGTTGTTTTCCAAAATAGTGGCTCAGATGAGATTTTGGGTGAGTATCAATCCCTCTTTATATATTGTAGAGATCATATCGAACTAAGAGATTTTGTATATGCAGAATCAATATTCTTGAAACCACTTACAGCTTCGATTCATAAAGAAACGGGGTGCAAGCAGCAGAGTACTGATACCCAAACGCCTGCAACCTCAACCGTGAGCCCACAACCTCTAGACCCTGAGCAAGGATATCAGTTATCAAAGCCTGATATCTTTGCTTCTGTTCTACCAACTGCTGTGCTATCAAAGTCTGGGCCAGAGCTATCTCATGACCCTCAACTTTGCAGCGAGAAAGACGAGAGTGATGCGTATGTGGAAACACTTTTACTTATGAGTGGTCTTTCACCAGAAGCAGTGAATGATATGATGTCTCAAAGACAAACACATCGTGTGGTGTGTTAAGTTATCAGGGAATTTGGGGTTTTCATGACTACCAGGAGTTGTGGTAGAGTGTAGGGATGTTGTGGCTGGTAATTCCTTGTAAAAACTTCGTCCAGTATGATTCTTGTTATACCTATCGCAGATACCCATCGACCTTATGACATCTCTTGTGGTTTAAAGTGGATAGCTAGGTTTTCTGCTGCCTAGATCGATGGAGGATTATATACTCATTGGTCAATGCGGGAGGTATGTTCAATTCTTTTGACACATCCACAGCTAAGGTTTTCTTGTTGGATGGTCTGACTAGTCTCTAAGAGCGCCCATTCCGTGAGAAAGTCCCACCAGGGTGATCCTTGACTCGTCTTAAACGCTTCCCTCATCTGAAATTTTAATCTGCGGGGCGCCCTATTTTGACTCCTATGAGGTTGCTGAAGGTCTTCTGGTCTACTCGTAAAATACAGTCTGCTGGAAAGTTTATGGTAGCAGGTCCATGGGTATGAGTAAGGCGCCCCTTTCATAAGGATGTTGAATCTTCTTACTTGCCTGAACCTCTTGGGTAGCTAGGCCCGATATATCAGCATGGCGCACGATCTAATACCTGGCATGCTTCCGGGATATTCACGCTGTGCCAACCAGAAAAAGTTTGAAGTTTCCATCAAGTTACCTTATTCGACTGGTTAATCTCAGTGATCTTGATGTTCCTGGAAGGTGTGGCCAATTCCCTGAACAGCCGACGCAGTACCTTGAGCCCAGAAACATATTCTTGTAAGGGGTAAGAGAGATTCGGACCTCTCGTGGTCAACCCCAGACTATCGGAAGCGGTGTCAGGTCCTTTGATAAGCTAGAGTGGATGGAGTTTACCCCCGACCTTGCCGGTCTGGCCCTCATCCAAGGTCATGCTAAGGGAATGAAGTGATACGTCGATGTGAGAGCTTCAATGCCTGAAGAGATGTGAGCCTCCAGTTTGCTGATTTATCAGCTCATTTGCTCAGGCCGAACTATTCACTAGCTCATTAGAAAACACGGCATGTTGTGTGAAAGAAATAGTTGTTCGAGGCTTTAATTGATGAATTGTTGATGAAAGGGAGTTGTTGATGGCTTGAACGAAGAGAGAAAGGAAGGAAGGAGGAAATAGAGAAAGAAAGAGCAAGGGGCGAAACTAACGTACAGCACTCAACCCACTCGCCCCCTTTCTAATCTAGCCCACCAGGCTGCTTCGCTGCCGAATCCTAAAAATGAATATGCGATTTCCGTGTGAGTACATATTTTGTACTGACTCTGTTTCAATTAATCAACAATCCTATTCTGCTAAGTAATAGGTAGCCTTTCGAATGGGCGTGCACCCCATTCGGCTCGTCTGATACATGGAGCACATCTACTTATATATGGCTCGACCAAACCTACTGGTTTTATTGCAAGTTTCCGATATGGTGCTGAGGGGGCCAGAAAATACTCCAAGTCTATTCAGCCACAGCCAGGAAACCCTTTTGGTCAAAATATGGGCCGTGTACGCCTTAATTGCGTACTCTATGGAGTTACAAGGCGAAATACAGCCGACGTCGCTTGAAAGCCCGTCCTTGACGACAAATAAGCCAGGAAAGTAAAAATTTCACTCGAATGAGGAATCGTGGTGCGCCGTAATTATAATCAGGATGAACTACGAGTGATATTGCGCCTTCTTTTGATCAACCTCTACATTTTTAAGAGTCACTTAACGCTCCGGAGCACCCACCGCGCTCTAAGCTAGCGACCATAACACTATTCTCGCTACATCCCTAATTACTTCTTATAGTGATGGTAGACTTTTTTACATCGTTATATTTAGTAATTTAACAGCAACTTAAACATTTCTTTATCGTATTGGTCACACCATAGAGAGTTGGCGTTGTCATATTGGTATCTCTTGGATCGGTATTTTATATCCTGTTAATGAATGGCCGTGGCGATATATACGCTTCAATGAGATAGCAGTATTTATTAGTGTCTCCCTCCGCGAGATAAATAAGTTGAAATCTACCAAACTACTATTACCAGGAGTACGGCACCAGTGAGAAAGCCGTTGGTAGCATACTCTAGTTTCAGTCCGCGACGGCTCTCGAAAGTTGTTTATCAGGAAATCATGCAACAGTCAAAATTTCTTTCTTGAAAATTGGGATTAGGTGATCTTGGCTCACTACCACTCACTCAATTCTCCGAAGCCTATCCCAGGACGGTTGAGGCAAAACAATACCAGTCTCCTAATTTTGCAGAATTATATAAAACCGAACAAGACGGGACTTTGGTATCGTCTGGGACGGAGTCGTGACTGCGTGGACAACACCATCACAATCGTTAACTACATGTATTTTGAAACTTGGGCTGATCATGAACGCAGGGACAACGTCCCCAATTGAACAATAAAAATATAGAACTGTCTTATCCCCATTGCGAGCGCACGTCAATAATTCTAGATGCATTTAGTTACGTAAGAACTGCTACATTATTTTAAAACCAAAGGTCTCTATATGTCGCTGGATAGCGGGAGCAATAACTCCACGTGTCGTTCAAGGTGCGCTGTTGGTTTTATTTGTTGAGTACTACTAGTCCACCCAGCTATATATTCATACAAAGAGGATCGATCAAACGTGGCTTGAGACAGGCTAAGTTTATTTAACGTTATTAAAGCCCTTGAGTCTCGAGATCTCTGATCTGGGAACACTGGTCGGGGTAATTAAGTTACTTGAACAATCAAAGCCCAGCTGGCCAGAATCATACAAATTCGAACAGAAATATCCTGTAGTCTATCGCTCTTTGATTACCTCAAACTTACATTAATCTCCTAATGTGTTAATGTTCTCCACCTGTCTGCTCCCCTATATCATCGGTAGTGCAGTACATTTCTATCGACCGCCCGCTTGAACACCAATCATCTAGTTTGTATCTCATCTTCTACCAAGTATGTACTCTATAACAGAAATGTTTTCTCTATCCCCTTCGGTGAACATTTGCGGCTCTAGATATCTCGTCTCTATGTTTCAAGTCAAAAAATTAAGCCATTTATAATATTGGGTGCAGAAATGGAGAGTTGATCTTGATCTTCGCAACTTCCGGTACGCAAGGGCTGTCAAGAAGTCCTTGGAGATAGATTATGTATTTAGCTACATACATGTATATAAAAATATTAAGCGCCACTAAGTCGCTGGAAGTTATTATCAATGAATTATTAATCAATCAGCTGGAGGTGATCATGATTATTAAATTACGTAGTGTGAAGAGCTTGGCATACAGCAGACGACCAATAATGTGGTAGGATACATGAATTCGATGGGGCTATGTAGCAAAAAATTCCAAACCAACAACTATTCTGAATACTGCATTTCATAAGTAACGGCAGAGTAAATTTTCAGATACAACAATCGGAGGCGCGGATATGAGTACATGTATGTAAGATGTAGTCGAGGATCCACACCCTCACCACAGCATCATTCGACCTATCAGTATATTTACCAACTTAGTCGTGCAACATCAAGAGGGATTCCTCTCAAAACCACCACAAGAATCCCTGGTGTTTATACTGATAGAGTTGTTTGGGCTCCGTTACACTAGGACATACTACTCAGTCAATCTGGTCTTAAACAAGTTACTTTAACGCCCGATTTGGTATTTTTATAAGCGTTGTATAACGCTGAAATAAGGCTTGTTTAACCGTTTTTGGCAGTTTATTGCTTATTCCGTTTTTACATCTCCAGTAATAAACTCAAACCAATAAGCATTATCTCAGATAAGGATTATTTCGGATTTGAAGGCTTTTTCGGATTTTAAGGCTTATTAAGGATTATAAGGATTATAAGGCTTATGTCGATTTTTAAAGATTATTTCAAGTAAAAACAAAAAGAAAAAAGCGGGGGGTTGAATCCAGAGCTTTGCAGGTAGCATCTACTTTATCGCCCGAGCGGGTATTTTTATAAGCCCTCATATAAACCTTAGTACACCATAGGATTATAAGAGCCTTACTCACTATAATAAATGTGATTTAAGCGTGTTTTAAGTATTAAGTAAGTCTTAAAACTACCTTAAAAAAGAGCTTATATACCAAAGAGGTCCTTATAAACCTATGGTCTGTATAAGGGTTAAATAAGGTTTAATATGTCCTTATAAAAAATCCCAAACCGCCGCTAACTACCTCATGCTACCCACTAAGCCATAGGGGAACTGAAATTCCGGTGCTGGAAGTAATATATGGCCAATATAATGCGAATTTTTAAGCCTTATATAAACCTTATCCACCAAAAATCCTTAAAAAAGCCTTATTTGATGAATAAGGGAGATCAGGTGTAAAAGCTTAAGTTATTTGATAATAATTATCTAAATCTAATACTTATCCATAAAATAAGCCGTATATATGCCTTATTTTTGAAAAACTCTTACCCAAGAAAGAGCCTTATCCCAAATTAAGGCTAATACCGCCATTGTTTGTCAATAAGGCCTTATTTAACGCTTATTTGACAATAAATCGTTACTGGAGGCTTATTTTTTTACCAAATCGGGCGTTAATGTATCTCTCGAGGGAAGAAGGGCTAATATCACTACGGATACTTCAGACCACGTGATCTTCGGGAATCCCGATCCGCGACATCCACTATAAACGGCTCCATAGCTAAATCCCTCCATGGCCATTCAACCTCCAACCATACCGCCTTCAGCCTATACCTCCGCTATATGACCATCCCAAGCTCTCCGTAAGCAAAGACACCAAGTAATAAGAACCCTCCAACTTCCCGACAGGGGATCCCAGACTTTCTCCAGTGCATAACAATCTCCCTTGATCCTTTCAAAGCTTTATCCTGCCTACTTCTGACGTCTATGAAGGCACAGTACTTTTGTGCCCCTTGATACCCCCTCAGTCATGGAATCCAGGGCCAGAGAGAGGGCGGGGAGTGCGTGATCATGCTCTAGTGATACGATATTTTGGTATTTCCCAAAATACAGGCCTTTATTGGACCAGTTAGCCATGGAATCACCAACTTACGAGTATATGTAGG